GGAAAGAGCCTGCGTACGTCACCGTCCCATGATGTGGTCAGCATGTCAACTGCACGGGCGGGGCGCCAAGCAACATCCTGTGCGCTGCTCAAGGGGCTGGGGCGCGGCCGCCGGTCTGCACAGGCAGCACCATGGCGCTCACGGTGGTCAGCATGGCGTGTGTCGGTGAGTCCTGCAGGGAATCGAGGGAGGGAGCCATGGGTAGAGATCCGGGCCTGGGGTGGGGATATGGGCTCGGAGCAGAGATATAGGCCTGGGGTGGAGATAGGGGCCTGGGTTGGGGATATCAGCCTGGGGTGGGGATATGAGCCTGGGGTAGGGATATTGCCTCCAGTGGAGATAAGAGCCTCAAGGTACAGACCTGGGCCTGGAGGCTGGGCCTCTGCACAGCCAAGAGCCCTGTTGTCTGGGGTCAGATGGGCAGCGAGGCTGAGTTTACCTTCAACCTAAGAAGGGCCTGGCTGCCAAAGCACACAGCCGTTCAGGGCAGCAGTGCAGGCCTGGTGTGTGTGCAGATGGATCGTCCATCATGATCTCTCTTTCCAGAGTTCTTCTTGGTCCAGGGGGCCTGGCCACATGACGGTGAGTCCTTCCCCAGACCTTAGGGTGTCATCTCCCCACATAAGGGAGTTTCCTGAAACAGAATAAAAGTCCTGTGGGGGAGTCTCTCATAAACTAGGAAGAGGGGGCTCTGGGGTGCTCGGCCCACAGTTCTGACCCAGCCCTTCCCAGCCTTGCCTTCCCTTGGCTGAGTCAAGCTCTGCGGGGACTGGGGTGAGACTGGGGTGCTCCAAGCTGGGGTGTGCGGGGAGGAAGTCGTGTCACCGGCAGAGGAAGGGAGGGAAGCAGTGCTAGGGAAGGCCGACCCCTCTGAGGACAAAGGTGTAACTCACACCCTCCAGCATCATCCATGACGGGAGGGGCTGCCGTGTGGCTGCTGGCATTCTACCAGAAGAGGTGGAGGAACCCCCAGCCATGAGCTTCACGTTCTAAGTCCTCTGTTGGGGGCTCCGTTGTTTATTGTGGTTCACGCAGTGGCCGATACTCCATTCGCAAAGGACGTGCCCTGCAGCCCATGTCTACTTCGTGTTGTTTTATGAAAGCAATTTTGCAGTATTAAAATCTACTAAGAGTCCCTCATTCAGCACTTGCTCAAATTTCTCTGCAGACAAGTTTGTTATAGGCAGACACCATGTCTGTGCAGGATGGGTCCTTCCTGTAGCTCTGAGCACCCAGGTGTGGCAGGTGTGGCAGGAACGTGGAAAGGGAGAGAATCTGGTAAGCACAGGGAGGGAGGGGCGGCTCCACATCTTCCTGTCTAAGGTGACGCCTCCTTCTCCCCAGGTGGTCGGGACACGCCCTCCCTGTCTGCCTGGCCCAGCGCTGTGGTGCCTCGAGGAGGAAACGTGACTCTTCGCTGTCACCGTTACTCTCGGTTTAGAACGTTCAGGTTGTACAAGGAAGACAGGATCCTCAATCCTGACTTCCAGGGCGGAATATTCCGGGACAGCTACCTCATGGGCCCTGTGACCACAGCACACGCAGGGACGTACAGATGTCAGGGTTTTCACCCAGACTCCCCCACTCCATGGACGGCACTCAGCAGCCCCCTGAAGATCATGGTCACAGGTCAGAGGGCTCCTGTCTGGGCTTCTCACTGTCCCACCTCCTGAATCCCAGAGCTTCTGGTGGGGTGTCCGTCAGGGTCCGATCACCCAGGCCCTGACTGTATTTGGGGTAAAGGGGATTGAATACAGGGAAGTGGATGCTGTGGTGGGAGGAATAACTGTCCCCAGTGATGGCCACATTCTCATCCCTGGAGCCTGTGACTGTTTCTGTTACAGGGCAGGGGTCTGAAGGGGAAGATGGAGCTCAGGTTGTGGATGAGTTGACCTTGAGATGGGAAGGCTGCCTGGACTGTCCAGCTGGGCTCAGTGTCATCACAACGGCCCACGTGAGAGGAGGAGGAAGAGGGGAGTGGGGATTAGAGCAGCGCAGTGGGAGGGAGACTCCAGCAGCCACTGCGGGCTCTGATGGTGGAGGACGGCCAGGAGCCATGAATGCAGGTGCCTCTAGGGGCTGGAGAAGACAAGGAAACTGATTCTCTCCCGGGTCTCCAAAGGGAACACAGCCCTGCAGACCCCCTGATTTTAGCCCAGGAAAACTGGGTCTGATTTCTATCCCCAGAAGTGGAAGGGCTCAGTGCGTTCTCTCCTGCTGCCATATTGTGATAATTTTCTACAGCAGCAACAGGAGACAACACAGGAACCCAGGGCAAGGACAAGTTAAGACCCCACACCGGGAGAAGGGTGGCTACCCCGAGGTCAGCAAGGGTGGGATGCTGAGGCCACCACCAGGCTCGATCCACATAGGGAGGGGTCGATGCTCCTGGAACCAGCACCAGGGGCCGCCCTGTGGAAGCTGGGACCATGGAGGAGCACAGACATGGCAGGAGAGGCTCCCAGTCCCCACCAGGAACAGGGTGTGTGGACACTGGTGCCCGCCTTACTCATCAGTTCATACCTCCTGCCAGGGATGCCACTTTGTCCACAACAGATTGAACCAGGCTGTGCAGAGCCTGGACGTGCGGCCTATTGTGGTTCCTCTTCCACCCTCACATGGACAGGAAGAGAGACATTAGTGGGAAACAGAAACCACAGCCCAAGGGACGAGGCTGAGCCCAGTGGGAAGGAGTCGGGGGCTGCTAGAGACAGAGCCAGAGAAGAGGGAGGGAGACAGATGGAGGGACCTGCACCAGGGTGACGGGCACAGAAAAGAGCGCAGAGACGCAGAGAGGGAGAGAGAGTCAGACACCGGGGAGGGGACGCCTCACTCATTCCAGGTCCCAGGGATGGGATGAGAAAGGGAGACGCCTTCTAAACTCACAATCTCTTTTTTTTTTTTTTTTTTTTTTTTTTTGTCTTTTTGTATTTTACCTTTTTGTGGAGAACGGGGTCTCGCTATATAGCCCAGGCAGGTCTCGAACTCCTGGGCTCAAGCTGTCCTCCCGCCTCTGCCTCCCTAACAGCTGGGATTACAGGCGTGAGCCACAGCCCCCGGCTAAACTCACAATTTCTTTTCGTAGGATTCCACAGAAAACCTTCCCTCCAGGCCCTCCCAGGTCCCCTGGTGAAATTGGGAGAGACGGTCATCCTGCAATGTTGGTCAGATGTCGTGTTTGAGCACTTCCTTCTGCACAGAAAGGGGATCTCTGAGAATCTCTTGCGCAGCATTGGAGAACCCCATGATGGGGGCTCCCAGGCCAACTTCTTCATAAATTCCACGCTGCCTGGCCTTGCAGGGACCTACAGATGCTACGGTTCTGTCACTCACTCCCTCTATGAGTGGTCAGCTCCCAGTGACCCCTTGGACATCGTGATCATAGGTGAGAGTATCCAGACATTCTTCTCATTGTCACTGGGACACAGAGTAAATGATCCAGGAGTTGGAAGCCCCATGTGCTCATGAAAAAAATGAGCGTGGGGTTCTTATGGAGAGAGACTGACTTGGTGAGGTCTGTACCAGCTGAGACAGAGAAACAGGAGACACAAGTAGAGATCCACACGTCATAAACAGAGGACAGACCACGGGGGCCATACAGGGAGTGAGAACACACAGAAAGAGGTAAAGGGGACAGACATGGAGACAACATGTCCCAGAGAGAGGTGTCCTTCCATGCTGGCTTTGTTCAGACACCTGGCACAGGGTAGAAGTTTTATTTCTGCATTTCCTCCACAAAGTGTTCTCTACCAGGAGAACCCAAAGACACCCAGACTTCTGACCTGAGTTGGGCCCTCTGGCCTCAGGCCTTGCGGCACCTACAGACACCGTGTTTATTCTGACACGTCTGCCTTCTGTGCAGTGCATCTGTAATCGACCCAGGATAACATGGCCCCGGAACACTAACCCCAGTGTGCTGTGTGTACTTGGGGTCCCCAGACTGGATTATGAGGCTCATATTCCACATAACCCCACATAGTATAAGATTACTGAGAGACACAGAGGGAAAACAGCACTATCAAAATGCAAAGACATAAACACACAGAGAATGAGCTGGGGAAGAGGATTGAGAGACTCACAGACACATAAAGAGAGAGAAAAGAGGGCAGAGAAGTGGAGGGAATGATGGAAGGGAGCAGAGAAAGCCCTAAAATCAGGGCCCTGCGGGAGGGGCACAAGGAGAGAGAAAGATGGAGATGTGGGACGGATTGCAGAGATTCCAAAGAGAACTAGAGAGACGGAGAGGCAGAGAGAGACAAGGAGGTGGAGAGAGACATGATAGATGGAGAGATAGAGAGAGATAGATGATAAATAGGTAGATGACAGGTCATAGATAGGTTATAAATACATAGATGATTGCTTGACAAATGATATGTAGAGATGATGATGATGATAGATAAATAAAGATAGGCAGACAGTGAGATAATAGATGATACATAGATATAGATAATAGGTGATTGATGCGTAGAAAGATAGACAGTTGATAGACGATACATAGATATAGATGACAGACAATTTGTAGACACCAAATACAGAAATAGGTAGAGACGTACATAATAGAAATAGGCAGAAAGTTATGAACAAGACAGAAAGTGAGAGACTCAGAATTAAAGGAAAAAGATCAAGTCCACGAATCGAAGTAGAGTCAGAGAGAATAAAACAATGCAAGAAATAGAAAACCTACCTGGGGTGGGGAAGTGAGGGAAGAGACCTAGAGAGTCAGGGAAGGTAGAAGGAGAAAACAGACATGAAGAGAGACGGGCTGGAGGGTGAGAGAGCATTAGCTCACAGAGCAGGGGCGTGAGTTCTCAGCTCAGGTGTGAAGGAGCTGTGACAGGGAAGAGCCTCCTGAGTAAACTGCCTCTTCTCCTTCCAGGTCAATATGAGAAACCTTCTCTCTCAGCCCAGCCGGGCCTCACGGTTCGGCCAGGACAGAACGTGACCTTGTCCTGCAGCTCCTGGAGCTCATTTGACGTGTACCATCTATCCAGGGAGGGGGAGGCCCCTGAACTCAGGCTCCCTGCAGTGCGGAGCATCAATGGAACATTCCAGGCCCACTTCCCTCTGGGCCCTGCCAGCCATGGAGGGACCTACAGATGCTTCGGCTCTTTCCGTGACTCTCCCTACGAGTGGTCAGCCCCGAGTGACCCATACCCCTTCCCCCACAGGTGAGGCAAACCCCATACCTGTCCCATGTCTGATGATCCTAGAGCCACAGCTGAGGAACTTCCTGCTGATGATGGAGGGAAGCATGGACAGATGCAGAGAGAAGACGAAGCCTGGGTGTGAGGGCGGGGTCAGGGGCACGATGGCAGACAGGGCACCTCCAAGCCCTGCTCCACGGCCCGCATGGAGGCCCGCGATTCAGGGCTCCGGGCACCCAGGCAGATGGAGAGAGCGGTCAGGACAGGCCCAGAGGAGGGAGACGAGGGCTCAGTTTGGGGAGATCAGAGGTTCCCTCAGCCCCTCAACCTCACCCATTTCCCAGAAGCCCATCCTGGCCTCTCACCCACAGAGAGACGTCATCACCAGCAACCCCCATGCCCTTTTCTTTTCATTTAGAAAAATATTTCTTGAGGTTAAATATACCTGTATAATTTACTGCCTTTACCTTTTCTTGAGACGGAATCTTGCTCCATTGTCCAGGCTGGAGTGCAGTGGCATGATCTTGGCTCACTGCAACCTCTGCTTCCTGGTTTCAAGCAATTCTCCTTCCTCAGCCTCCCAAGTAGTTGATCCCAACCGGTGGACGCCACCATGCCCCGTTATTTTTTGTATTTTTAGTAGAGATGAGGTTTCACCATGTTGGCCAGGCTGGTCTTGAACTCCTAACCTTGTGGTTCGCCGCCTTGGCCACCCAAAATGCTCAGATTACAGGCGTGAACCCCTGCATCTGGCCTCAACTTTACCTTTTTTAAGTGTAAAGTCCAGTGGTCATGGATACATTTATATTCTTTTTTATTGTTGTTACCCTCTCCGCTTCACTTCCTGGGCCCCTGTAGCCACCATTCTCTCTACCTTCATGAGATCCACCTGCTAGCTCCTGCAGATGGGTGAGAAATGGCAATCTGTGTCATGCCCTCCAGTTCCATCCAGGTGGCTGGAAGTGACAGGACGTCATTGCTCTTATGGAGGAGGGGTCTTCACTGTGTGTATGTGCTACCTTCTCTCTATCCACCCACCCACTGATGGGCAGGCGGGTTCACTCCACACCTCGGTTATTGTGAATTGGGCTGCACCAATTGTGGGAGCGCAGATGTCACTTTGAGTCACTGATGTCCTTTCCTTTGGGTGTAAACCCAGTAGTGAGACGGCTAGATACTGTGAAAATCCTCTTTTTAGCTTTTTTTTTTCTTGAGATGGAGTTTCCCTCTGTAGCGCAGGCTGGAGGGCAGCGGCGCCATCTTGGCTCACGGCAACTCTGCGTCCTGGGTTCACAGGATTCTCTTACCTCTGCCTCCCTGGTAGGAATTTTCCCTCTTTGACACAAGTGCCCTCCTTGCCATTGACCTTAGCTAAACCATGGCAAACTCATAAATAGTGGACACATGAATGAATTAAAAGCTTTCCTTATTTTTGTAACTAATATTTGCATGTTTTCTTAGTCTCTTTCCAAGTCCTTGGAAATTACAGGTGCACGCCACCACGCCTGGCTACGTTTTGTATTTTTTAGTACAGACAGGGTTTCGCCAGGTTGACTAGCCTGCTCGCAAACTCCTGACCTCAAGTGAGGTGCCCACCTCGGTTTCCCAAAGTGCTGGGATTACAGGCATGAGTCACCACGCCTGGCCTCTTTTTAGTTTTTTTTTTTTTTTAAAGACCTTCCACACTTTTCTCGGTAAAACAAATTTACATTCCTGCTGACAGGGTACCAGTGTTCTCCTTTCTCTACCTTCTTGCCAGCATTTGCTTTCCCTGTCATGCAAATAAGCCATTTAATGAGGTGAGATCAAAACTCTTGTGATTTTAATTTGCGTTTCTCTGATGATGAGTGATGCTGAGCACTTTTTCATAGACGTGATGGCTATTTATATGTGTTGTTTGTGGAGAAATGTCTGTCCATGGCTTTTGCTCTTTTTTAAATTAAATTATTTGTTTTATTGAGTTGTTTGAGCTCCTTATATTTCTAGTTTTTCATTTGTTTGTTTTTTTTTGTTGTTTTGTTTTGTTTTGTTTTGGGACGGAGTCTCACTCTGTTGCCCAGGCTGGAGTGCAATGGTGCCATCTCGTCCCACTACAACCTCCCCCTCCCAGGTTCAAGGATTCTCCTGCCTCACCCTCCTGAGTAGCTGGGATTACAGGCATGTGCCACCATGCCCGGATAATTTTGTATTTTGAGTAGAGACAGGGTTTCTCCATGTTGGTCAGGCTGGTCTCAAACTCACAATGGCACCCTTGTCAAAGTCCACTGGACGGGCGGTGCATGGTGACTCACACCTGCAATCCCAGTACTTTGGGAGACCAAGGTAGGTGGATCACCTATGGCCAGCAGTTCGAGACCAGCCTGGCCAACATGGTGAAACCCCCTGTCCACTACAAGTACAAAACTTAGCTGAGCATAGTGGTTGGTGCCTGTAATACCACTAGTCGGGTGTCTGAGGCAAGAGACTTGCTGGAAACCAGGAGACGGAGGTGGCAGTGACCTGAGACTGCACCTCTGCACTGCAGCCTGGGTGACAGAGCGAGATTCCATCTCAAAAAAAAAAAAAAGCCATTGGATGTGAATGCATGGGTTATGTCTGTGTTCTTCATTCTCCTCCACTGTTCTATGTGCCTTTCTTTATGCCAGTGTCATGCTGTTTTGCTTACTACGGCTCTGTAACATATTTTTAAGTCAGGTAGTGTGATGCCCCTGTTTTCTCCTTATACCTTGAAGTCTCAAGACAGTGGGCATCACATACAAAAGTTATGGAGCAGAGGACCCCAGGACTCCCAGGCCAGGGCCCAACATCAGATAACAGAGTGTGGGCCATGAACCGACCTCACAGATTTCCACTGAGTAGAAGACAGGCATCCTCACTGCCACACCTCTCTCCTGTCCCGTGTTCTAGGAAATCCTACAAGCGGTTGGCCTTCACCCACTGAACCAAGCTCCAAAACTGGTGAGTAAAGGACCCTCCTGTCTCTGCTTTAGGAAACCTGGGGAGGCGGAAGCCTTGGATTCAAGTGTTGGCTCAGCATCTCCGAGCTCTGTGACTGAGGGCCTGTCTTCTACCATCTCTGACCCCCAGACTCTCCAACAGGAAAAGGGATCTGGGGCCAGCACAAGGCTCAGTGAAGTCTCTTACTCTCTAATTTTCTGCAGCTGAGACCTCCTTGAGGCTAGAAGAATGATTGCAAATCTGACATCCTTCTCAGGAAAAAATGCAGTGTTTGTTCTGCCTGCATTCCTAACTGGAGGATAAATGCCTGGGGGGCTGGAGAGGGAAAGAAAGGGAACATCTGATGAGGGTGGGGCGTTTTAGAGAAGTTCCACTTGCCAAGGAATTAACTCCTGTGGGTCATGATGCAACCCTGGCTGACTCAGCAGAGCAAGAGCATTGCAGTAAGAGAGAACTGAGCTCATGCACGTACACTTTGACTTGATCACTCACTCGATGCAATCACTCACTGCAACCTCCGCCTGAAGATGACTTCAACCCAGGAGGCGGAGGTTGCAGTGAGCCGAGATTGCAGCACTGCACTCCAGTTTGGGCGACACAGGGAGGCTCCATTTCAAAAACTAAAATTAAAAAATACGTAAATATTATATAGCACACACAAATGACAAAGGCACCTGAATTCCAATCATCATTTTTCTACTTCTCTGTAATAACTTTTTTGATCCCTAATCTTATACATTAGAAAATCAGCCTAGACCCTCTTCCCTATTTGGAAAGCATGAGATCATATGGAAAATGGGAAAGCCCTCGACCCACCAGCGCAGGTCCTGAAATAGAGAAAGTGCTCTATTCATGGCATAAAAGTTGCCCCCTCACCCAAATCCCCGCCTCACCCCTACTTCCAATCACGTGTGGAGATACAGATAGATTATGGGGAGGTGAAACTAATATTCTTTGCAGTGAGCTCAGTTCTTGGACTCAGAGAGCAATGCCAGCACTATCTCCTGGTCACCTTTCCTACTAATTCACAGAAGGACAGGCTGTATTTTGAAGCAATAGATGATGGAGGGGGTTGTTCCTCCCCCTGCCTCTCAGGTAGACCAGCAGCCTATTATAGGTCTCACGAGATCACAAAAAGTAACACGTTGCCCACAGGCTTCTGCACTATTTCCTGGCTCTTTGATATAAGACAGTTCTACTTCACTTCTTTTGATTTTGATTTCACTTTTTTTTCTTTTCTTGGAGAATGTAATTTGTTTGAGTCAAGAGCGTTGTGGATGTAGAAGTTGTAAAGCACGTTCACTGTGTACCAATCCCCGTCCAGTCTTCCTGGAGAAGACTCTGAACACCTCCTGGATTGCACCTGGGGCCATGCCAGTTTCTATCACTGACAGTCACTCCAGGGAGACAGAGCACAGACAGAATACATTACATAAAGCAGGTTCATTACTCACAGATCAGCAGCAAGTGACGGCAGAAGCCTGACTTTCAGGGCGAGCCAGTCCCCTGAGGCTCAGAAAAGCTGCCCAGGACACACGGAGTCACCCCATTTGCAGTGTCCCTGGGGGAACCGAAAAGTGGCCCCGCCTGGGTTTTGTACCCTGGGGCTACAGGAAGCACTGGGCTAAAGCACTGCATCACACCCTCCTCTAAAAAGAGCAGGAGGAGAGCCCAGGCTGTTCCGAGATGTTCCTCCTGAGCTCAGGACGGTGCTGTCTTAGTCCATTTTTGTTGCTGTCAAGGAACACGTGAGCCTGGGTAACTTCTAAAGAAAACAGATGTGTGTGGCTCATGGTTCTACAGGCTGTACTAGAAGCATGGCACCAGCCTCTATTTTTTGTGACGCCTCAGGCTGCTGCCACTCTGGCAGAAGAGAAGTGGAGTGTGTGTGTGCAGAGACCACAGAGATCACATGGCAAGAGAGGGAGCGGGAGGCGGAGGTGCAATGGAGCTTCCAAGTTCTCTTTCACAACCAACTCTCCAGGAACTAGTGGAGGGAAAACTTGCCAATCTTGTCTCATGGGGACAGCATTAATCTATTCATGATGGATCCACCCCATGAACCAACCACCTCCCACTAAGCCCAACCTCCCAAACTGGGGGTTAAATAATGTGAGGTTTGAAGAGGATCAAACATCTAAACCAAAGCAGTTGTATCATCAGCTCTTTCTGTGGTTACTATGAGAACTGTAACTGAGAAAGCAGGAGAAAGCCGGGTCTCCCACCATCTGGGTGCTTGTCCTAAAGAGACATTGTGTGTGGTTACCTGGCCATGAAGAGATGAGAGACAGTCCACGAAGAGGAACTGCTGTGGTCAGCTTCTTATTGGATTCCCGTCTTCCTCCAGGTAACCCCAGACACCTGCACATTCTGATTGGGTCCTCAGGGGTCATCATCCTGTTCATCATCCTGCTCTTTTTTCTCCTTCATCGCTGGTGGTCCAGGAAAAACAGTAAGTCTCATGAAACAGAGACCAGAGACCTCAGGGCCATGTGCAGAAGCAGGATGGAGCACGCAGGTGTGTGTTTTTCACTGGTAGGATGGTCCCTGGCCCAAGGCAAGAACCCCAGAGGCAGGGCTTTCTAGAGAGAGCACCAGACACCCTGCGCCTGCCCTCAGCTCACAGACCATTGCCTGATTCTGAACTGTATCCTCACGTCCCTGCAGCCACTGACATCCAGGAGAAGTTTCCATGCCAGGCAGAAAGTGGGAGACAGAATCAATGGGATGGGAATTGAGAGCTCTTCATGGGAGGGGTCCTTGTACTCAGAGAGATAGAATGTGTGAGTCAGGCTGTTGGCAGCGGAGGGGCCTCAGGCACCCATGGCCTCCCCCTGTGTGTTGGTGTCTGCACATGAAATGAGGACCCAGAAGGGCCCTCCCAGGTGTTTTGATGACTTCCATCTCCTTCAGATGCTGCAGTAAAGGACCAAGAGCCTGCAGTGGACAGAACAGTGAACAGGGAGGTAGGTGCTCCTTGGCCCAGCCTCGGGGATGGGGTCTTATTCCCTAATAGTCCCGAAGAATGTGAGCCCCTCCCTCCGTCAACATTTCCCTCTCTCCAGGACTCTGATGGACAAGACCCTCAGGAGGTGACATACGCACAGCTGGATCATGACGTTTTCACACAGAGAAAAACCTACTCGCCCTTCTCAGAGGCCCAGGAGACCCCCACCAGAACCCAGTGTGTACACTGGAACTCCCGAAATGCGGAGCCCAGATTGAAAGTTGTCTCCTGTCCATGAGCCACAGACAGGCCTTGAGGGGTCCTTTAGGGAGACAATGGCCCTGACTCAAACCTGCCTTGCCAGCTCCAGTGTAGCAGCAGCTGGGACCTGAAGGCGTGAGTCTGTGTCTCAGGGGATCGCTCTTCCTCACACCATGAATCTGAACGTGGCTCTCTCTTGCTTACAAATGTCTGCGGTCCTCACTGCCTGCTGGACAGAAAACACACTCGTTTGCTTAACACACAGTTCTCCATTTCACTTGACCCCTGCCCACCTCTCCAACCTAATTGGCTTACTTCCTGGTCCTACCTGAGGCTGCAGTCACAGTGAGGAACTCACAAGTCCAGACATACAAGAGGCTCCCTCTTAACACAGCACTTAGATACGTGCTGTTCTACCTTCCCGCATGCTGTTCCACCTGCCCTCAGACTTTGAGGGATTTTGCAGCCTTCTGTCATCCGTAAAATTTTTAAGCTCTTTTTGTGTATAATTTCGATGTCGTTCTCTTCAAATAAACATGTCTGCCCTCATGAGTTAGGTAATGTGACTCTATTTTTGCCTAAGCTTTTGGTGTTATCATTGCTATGTCCACATAACCCCATATGTTCTCCACTGGGTTCTCACCCCTGGACTGGGAGCTTCTGGAAGCAGGCGGAGCCTGGTTTGGCCCTGGAACTCTAATTTCCATCCAAAGATGCAGCACGTAAGAGATTCTCAAGGACCTTGAATCAAATGGACACGTGCTGTTTTTACTCTCTGCAGACCCGGAAACCTCGCAGAGTAATTCCAAGATGAAGCATCTGCAGGGTCATCGCCTTGTTAGTCTCATCTCCGCAATGACGCTTATCAAATCATCATCTTTCACACTGAATACACAGTCGGTCCTCCGTATCTGTGGGTTTACAGCTGTGTATCAAACCAACTATAAAGAAAGAATATTCAGAGAAAAAGATCCACAAAGTTCCAAAAGGCAAGACTATGTTGAATGGACCCGAGTGAAGCTGTGCGTAGCCTGTATGAGGAATTATAAGTCATCTAGAGAGGATCCGACATATACAGGAGGATGTGCAGGGTGATATGCACTCACTAAGCCATTTCATGAAAGAGGCTGGAGCATCTGCAGATTTTGGCATCTGAGTGAGGATCCTGGGACCAGTCACCCAGAGGAGTAAAGGAACACTGTATGTAATTTTTATTAGTTAATTTTACAAATAAATCGTAAAATATTTACAATAAAAATATTTTTAAAAAGATAAAAAAAGAAGCAGTGTTTTGACAAGGCCAGAATACATTTACATTTACGTTTCAGACGAGTAACTCTTTGGTCCAGTGTTATTTATTGAGAAGACATTCTATTCCACCTTAAAGCACATGGCAGCCTTTGTCAACTCTAAAGGGCCTGTGTGTGCACGGATGTGTCTTAGACACTGTTTTCTGCTCACTGGCTGTGTCCACTCTCGTGAGGATGCCGCAGTTTGTGTGACTTTATACAACCCCTTAACATTTGGTAGCCTAATAATTTCTTATTAGAGGCTATTTGTTTTCCTTTTTCTTTCTTTTCTTTTCTTTGTTTTTTGTTTGTTTGTTTGTTTGTTTTGTTTGTTTGTTTTTGTTTTTGAGACAGACTCTCCCTCTCTGACCCAGGCTGGAGTGCAGTGGTGGGATCTCGGCTCACTGCCGCCTCTGCCTTCTGGCTCCAAGCGATTCTTGTGCCTCGGCCTCCCAACTAACAGGGCATTACAGGCGCCCATCCACCATGCCTGGCTAGTTTTTTTTTTTTTAGTAGAAACAAGTTCTCACTATATTGGCCAGGCTGGTCTCAATCTCCAGATCTCAGGTGATCCACCCACCTCATCAGCCTCCCAAAGTGCTGGGGGAAACCTGATTTTCTATAGAATTATGTTACTGGATATTCCTGTAAAATTTAAATGAGGGAAAGAGAGAGAGAGAGACCCATTAGTTTGGACTCTGGCTTTGGGTTATGAGACAAATCCTAGATAAAACTACAAAATCTAGAATTTACATGTTGTGTTTTTGCTAATAAAGTACAATTCTAAGATTGTAAATCACTGGAAAGTCCTTCCCTCAGAATTTAAATCATTTCATCTGCTTCTGGCTGAGTAGAGGAAATACGAGCAAGAAAAATACTAGTGATTTTTTGTCACAATTACTGTAATAACGCTAATAATACCTATTAGATATTTTGCATACTACACATGTAGAAGAGTTTGAATCTCAGAAAAAACAAAAATGCATCAAAAGTCTTCAATATCAGCACAGATTCAATCACGTCGTGCATGAGAGATTGGAATGGAGACGTGTTTTGAGTTGGTCATGGTGAAGGAGGCGAGGTGACGATTCTGGTCAGAACAGTTTCCAGGAAGCCATGTTCCTCTCTTGACCGAACACCCAGTGGGCCTCATGCGAGGCGGAAAGAGCCTGCGTACGTCACCGTCCCATGATGTGGTCAGCATGTCAACTGCACGGGCGGGGCGCCAAGCAACATCCTGTGCGCTGCTGAAGGGGCTGGGGCGCGGCCGCCGGTCTGCACAGGCAGCACCATGGCGCTCACGGTGGTCAGCATGGCGTGTGTCGGTGAGTCCTGCAGGGAATCGAGGGAGGGAGCCATGGGTAGAGATCCGGGCCTGGGGTGGGGATATGGGCTCGGAGCAGAGATATAGGCCTGGGGTGGAGATATGGGCCTGGGGTGGAGATATGGGCCTGGGGTGGGGATATGGGCCTGGAGTAGGGGATATTGCCTCTAGTGGAGATAAGAGCCTCGCGGTATAGACCTGGGCCTGGAGGCTGGGCCTCTGCACAGCCCTGTTGTCTGGGGTCAGATGGGCAGCGAGGCTGAGTTTACCTTCAACCTAAAAAGGGTCTGGCTGCGGAGGCACACGGCCCATTCGGGGCAGCAGGGCAGGCCTGGTGTGTGTGCAGATGGATCGTCCATCATGCTCTTTCTTTCCAGGGTTCTTCTTGGTCCACGGAGTCTGGACACAAAAGGGTGAGTCCTTCCCCAAATGTTAGGGTGTCATCTTCCCACATAAGGGGGTTTCCTGAAACAGAAGGAACATCCTGTGGGGGAGTCTCGCATAAACTAGGAAGAGGGGGCCCTGGGGTGCTCGGCGTACAGTTCTGACCCAGCCCTTCCCAGCCTTTCCTTCCCTTGGCTGAGTCAAGCTCTGCGGGGACTGGGGTGAGACTGGGGTGCTCCAAGCTGGGGTGTGCGGGGAGGAAGTCGCGTCACCGGCAGAGGAAGGGAGGGAAGCAGTGCTAGGGAAGGCCGACCCTCTGAGGACAAAGGTGTAACTCACACCCTCCAGCATCTCCATGACGGGAGGGGCTGCCGTGTGGCTGCTGGCATTCTACCAGAAGAGGTGGGGGAACCCCAGCCATGAGCTTCACGTTCTAAGTCCTCTGATGGGGGCTCCGTTGTTTATTGTGGTTCACGCAGTGGCCGATACTCCATTTTCAAAGGGCATGCCCTGCAGCCCATGTCTACTTTGTGTTGTTTTATGAAAGCAATTTTGCTGTATTAAAATCTACTAAGAGTCCCTCATTCAGCACTTGCTCAAAGTTCTCTGCTGATGCGTTTGTTGTAGGGAGACGCCATGTCTGTGCAGGATGGGTCCTTCCTGTAGCTCTGAGCACCCAGGTGTGGCAGGAGCCTTAGGAACGTGGAAAGGGAGAGAATCTCCTGAGCACAGGGAGGGAGGGGCGGCTCCACATCTTCCTGTCTAAGGCGACGCCTCCTTCTCCCCCAGGTGGTCGGGACAAGCCCTTCCTGTCTGCCTGGCCCAGCACTGTGGTGCCTCGAGGAGGAAACGTGACTCTTTGCTGTCACCGTCACTCTAGGTTTACAACGTTCAGGTTGTACAAGGAAGACAGGATCCTCAATCCTGACTTCCAGGGTGGAATATTCCAGAACAGCTACCTCATGGGCCCTGTGACCACAGCACACGCAGGGACCTACAGATGTCAGGGTTTTCACCCAGACTCCCCCACTCCATGGACGGCACTCAGCAGCCCCCTGAAGATCATGGTCACAGGTCAGAGGGCTCCTGTCTGGGCTTCTCACTGTCCCACCTTCCTGAATCCCAGAGCTTCTGGTGGGGTGTCCGTCAGGGTCCGATCACCCAGGCCCTGACTGTATTTGGGGTAAAGGGGATTGAATACAGGGAAGTGGATGCTGTGGTGGGAGGAATAACTGTCCCCAGTGATGGCCACATTCTCATCCCTGGAGCCTGTGACTGTTTCTGTTACAGGGCAGGGGACTGAAGGGGAAGATGGAGCTCAGGTTGTTGATGAGTTGACCTTGAGATGGGGAGGCTGCCTGGACTGTCCAGCTGGGCTCAGTGTCATCACAAGGGCCCACGTGAGAGGAGGAGGAAGAGGGGAGTGGGGATTAGAGCAGCGCAGTGGGAGGGAGACTCCAGCAGCCACTGCGGGCTCTGAAGGTGGAGGACGGCCAGGAGCCATGAATGCAGGTGCCTCTAGGGGCTGGAGAAGTCAAGGAAACTGATTCTCTCCCGAGTCTCCAGAGGGAACGCAGCCCTGCAGATGCCCCTGATTTTAGCCCAGGGAGGACTGGGTATGATTTCTGTCTCCAGAAGTGGAAGGGCTCAGTGTGTTCTCTCCTGCTGCCATATTGTGATAATTTTCTACAGCAGCAACAGGAGACAACACAGGAACCCAGGGCAAGGACAAGTTAAGACCCCACACCAGGAGAAGGGTGGCTACCCCGAGGTCAGCGACGGTGGGATGCTGAGGCCACCACCAGGCTCGATCCACATAGGGAGGGGTCGATGCTCCTGGAACCAGCACCAGGGGCCGCCCTGTGGAAGCTGGGACCATGGAGGAGCACAGACATGGCAGGAGAGGCTCCCAGTCCCCACCAGGAACAGGGTGTGTGGACACTGGTGCCCGCCTTACTCATCAGTTCATACCTCCTGCCAGGGATGCCACTTTGTCCACAACAGATTGAACCAGGCTGTTCAGAGCCTGGACGTGCGGCCTGTCGTGGTTCCTCTTCCGCCCTCACATGGACAGGAAGAGAGAGATTAGTGGGAAACAGAAACCACAGCCCAAGGGACGAGGCTGAGCCCAGTGGGAAAGAGTCAGGGGCTGCTAGAGACAGAGCCAGAGAAGAGGGAGGGAGACAGATGGCGGGACCTGCACCAGGGTGACGGGCACAGAAAAGAGCGCGGAGACGCAGAGAGGGAGAGAGAGTCAGACACGGGGGAGGGGACGCCTCACTCATTCCAGGTCCCATGTATGGGATGAGAAAGGGAGACGCCTTCTAAACTCACAATCTCTTTTTTTTTTTTTTTTTTTTTTTTTGTCTTTTTGTATTTTTCCTTTTTGTGGAGAACGGGGTCTCGCTATATAGCCCAGGCAGGTCTCGAACTCCTGGGCTCAAGCTGTCCTCCCGCCTCTGCCTCCCTAACAGCTGGGATTACAGGCGTGAGCCACAGCACCCGGCTAAACTCACAATTTCTTTTCGTAGGATTCCACAGAAAACCTTCCCTCCAGGCCCTCCCAGGTCCCCTGGTGAAATCAGGAGAGACGGTCATCCTGCAGTGTTGGTCAGATATCATGTATGAGCACTTCCTTCTGCACAGAAAGGGGATCTCTGAGGATCTCTTGCGCAGCATTGGAGAACCCCGTGATGGGGGCTCCCAGGCCAACTTCTTCATAAATTCCACGCTGCCTGGCCTTGCAGGGACCTACAGATGCTACGGTTCTGTCACTCACTCCCTCTATGAGTGGTCGGCTCCCAGTGACCCCTTGGACATCGTGATCACAGGTGAGAGTGTCCAGACATTCTTCTCATTGTCACTGGGACACAGAGTAAATGATCCAGGAGTTGGAAGCCCCAGGTGCTCATGAAAAAGATGAGCGTGGGGTTCTTATGGAGAGAGACTGACTTGGTGAGGTCTGTACCAGCAAAGACAGAGAAACAGGAGACACAAGTAGAGATCACACGTCATAACAGAGGACAGACACGGGGGCCATACAGGGAGTGAGAAAACAGAAAGAGGTAAAGGGGACACACAGACAGACAGACATGTCCCAGAGAGAGGTGTCCTTCCATGCTGGCTTTGTTCAGACACCTGGCACAGGGTGGAAGTTTTATTTCTGCATTTCCTCCACAAAGTGTTCTCTACCAGGAGAACCCAAAGACACCAGATTTCTGACCTGAGTTGGGCCCTGTGGCCTCAGGCCTTGTGGCACCTACAGACGCCGTGTTTATTCTGACACGTCTGCCTTCTGTGCAGTGCATCTGTAATCGTCCCAGGATACCACGGCCCCAGAACACTAACCCCAGTGTGCTGTGTGTACTTGGGTTCCCCAGACTGGATTCTGAGGCTCATATTCCAAATAACCCTGCATAGTATAAGATTACTGAGAGACACAGAGAGAAATCAGCGCTATCAAAATGCAAAGACATAAACACACACAGAATGAGCCAGGGAAGGGGATTGAGAGACTCACAGACACATAAAGAGAGAGAAAAGAGGGCAGAGAAGTGGAAGGAATGATGGAAGGGAGCAGAGAAACGCCCTAAAATCAGGGCCCTGCGGGAGGGGCACAAGGAGAGAGAAAGATGGAGATGTGGGACGGATTGCAGAGATTCCAAAGAGAACTAGAGAGACCGAGAGGCAGAGAGAGACAAGGAGGTGGAGAGACAGATGATAGATGGATGGATAGACAGAGATAGATAGATGATAAATAGGTAGATGGTAGATCATAGATAGGTTATAGATACATAGATGATGGCTGATTGACAGATGATACATAGAGATGATGATGATGATAGATAAGTAGATAAAGATAGGCAGACAGTGAGATAATAGATGATACATAGATATAGATAATAGATGATTGATGCATAGAAAGATAATTGACAGAGACATAGATAGATGATACATAGATATAGATGATCGATATTTTGTAAACACCAAATACAGAAATAGAGACATACATAATAGTTAGAAATAGTTCAAAAGTTATGAACAAGACAGAAAGTGAGAGACTCAGAATTAAAGGAAAAAGATCAAGTCCACGAATCGAAGTAGAGTCAGAGAGAATAAAACAATGCAAGAAATAGAAAACCTACCTTGGGTGGGGAAGTGAGGGGAGAGACCTAGAGAGTCAGGGAAGGTAGAAGTAGAAAACAGACATGAAGAGAGACGGGCTGGAGGGTGAGAGAGCGTTAGCTCACAGAGCAGGGGCGTGAGTTCTCAGCTCAGGTGTGAAGGAGCTGTGACAGGGAAGAGCCTCCTCAGTAAACTGCCTCTTCTCCTTCCAGGTCGATACGGAAAACCTTCTCTCTCAGCCCAGCCGGGCCCCACGGTTCGACCAGGAGAGAACGTGACCTTGTCCTGCAGCTCGAGCACCTCATTTGACGTGTACCATCTATCCCGGGATGGGGAGGCCCCTGAACTCAGGCTCCCTGCAGTGCGGAGCATCAATGGAACATTCCAGGCCCACTTCCCTCTGGGCCCTGCCAGCCACGGAGGGACCTACACATGCTTCGGCTCTTTGAGTAACTCTTCCTACAGGTGGTCAGCCCCGAGTGACCCACTGTCCGTTTCTGTCACAGGTGAGCAAACCCCATACCTGTCCCATGTCTGATGATCCTAGAGCCACAGCTGAGGAACTTCCTGCTGATGATGGAGGGAAGCATGGACAGATGCAGAGAGAAGACGAAGCCTGGGTGTGAGGGCGGGGTCAGGGGCACGATGGCAGACAGGGCACCTCCAAGCCCTGCTCCACGGCCCGCATGGAGGCCCACGTTCAGGGCTCCGGGCACCCAGGCAGATGGAGAGAGCGGTCAGGACAGGCCCAGAGGAGGGGAGACGGGGCTCAGTTTGGGGAGATCAGAGGTTCCCTCCGCCCCTCAACCTCACCCATTTCCCAGAAGCCCATCCTGGCCTCTCACCCACAGAGAGACGTCATCACCAGCAACCCCCATGCCCTTTTCTTTTCATTTGGAAAAATATTTCTTGAGGTTAAATATACCTGTATAATTACTGCCTTTACCTTTTCTTGAGATGGAATCTTGCTCCATTGCCCAGGCTGGAGTGCAGTGGCATGATCTTCGCTCACTGCAACCTCTTCCTCCTGGTTTCAAGCAATTCTCCTTCCTCAGCCTCTCAAGTAGATGGGATTACAGGCTCACGCCAGCACACCTGGCTGATTTTTGTATTTTTAGTAGAGATGAGGTTTCACCATGTTGGCCATGCTGGTCTTTAACTCCTGACCTTGTGGTCCGTCATCTCGGCCGCCCAAAGTGCTGGGATTACAGGCATGAACCACTGCGTCCGGTCTCACCTTTACCATTTTTAAGTATAAAGTCCAGTGGTCATGGATACATTTATATTCTTTTATGTTGTTGTTACCCTCTCCGCGTCGCTTCCTGGCCCCCTGTAGCCACCATTCTCTCTATCTTCATGAGACCCACCTGCTAGCTCCTGCAGATAGGTGAGAAATGGCAATCTGTGTCATGCCCTCCAGTTCCATCCAGGTGGCTGGAAGTGACAGGATGTCATTGCTCTTATGGAGGAGGGGTCTCCACTCTGTGTTATGTGCTACATTCTCTCTATCTACCCATCCTCTGATGGGCAGGCGGGTTCACTCCACACCTCGCTTATTGTGAATTGGGCTGCACCAACCGTGGGAACGCAGATGTCACTGCGATTCACTGATGTCCTTTCCTTTGGGTGTAAACCCAGTAGTGAGATGGCTGGATACTGTGAAAATCCTCTTCTTAGCTTTTTTTTTTTTTTTCTTGAGATGGAGTTTCCCTCTGTAGCTCAGTCTGGAGGGCAGTGGCGCCATCTGGGCTCATTGCAACTCCGCCTCCTGGGTTCACAGGATTCTCCTACCTCTGCCTCCCTAGCAGGAATTTTCCCTCTTTGACACAAGAGCCCTCCTTGTCATTGACCTCAGCTAAACCATGGCAGTTCATAAATAGAGGAAACATGAATGAATTAAAAGCTTTCCTTTTTTCTGTAACTAAGAGTTGCATGTTTTCTTAGTCTCTTTCCAAGTCCTTGGAAATTACAGGTGCACGCCACCACGCCTGGCTAAGTTTTGTATTTTTTAGTACAGACAGGGTTTCGCCAGGTTGGCTAGCCTGCTCGCAAACTCCTGACCTCAAGTGAGGTGCCCGCCTCGGTTTCCCAAAGTGCTGGGATTACAGGCTTGAGCCACCACGCCTGGCCTCTTCTTACTTTTTTTTATAAAGACCTTCAACACTTTTTTCCGTAAAAAAAATTTAAACTCCTGCCGACAGGGTACCACTGTTCTCCTTTCTCTACCTTCTTGCCAGCATTTGCTTTGTCTGTCTTGCAAATAAAAGCCGTTTTAATGAGGTGAGATCAAAACTCTTGTGATTTTCATTTGCGTTTCTCTGATGATGAGTGATGCTGGGCACTTTGTCATAGACGTGATGGCTATTTGTATGTGTTGTTTGTGGAGAAATGTCTGTCCATGGCTTTTGCTCTTATTTAAATTATTTGTTTTATTGAGTTGTTTGAGCTCTTTATATTTCTAGTTTTTCATTTGTTTGCTTGTTTTTTTGTTATTTTGTTTTGTTTTGGGACGGAGTCTCACTCTGTTGCCCAGGCTGGAGTGCAATGGTGCCATCTCGTCCCGCTACAACCTCCACCTCCAGGTTCAAGGATTCTCCTGCCTCAGCCTCCTGAGTAGCTGGGATTACAGGCATGTGCAACCATGCCTGGATAATTCTGTATTTTTAGTAGAGACAGGGTTTCTCCATGTTGGTCAGGCTGGTCTCAAACTCACAATGGCACCCTTGTCAAAGTCCACTGGACGGGCTGTGCATGGTGGCTCACAACTGCAATCCCAGCACTTTGGGAGACCAAGGTAGGTGGATCACCTGTGGCCAGCAGTTTGAGACCAGCCTGGCCAACATGGTGAAACCCCTTCTCCATTTAAAGTACAAAACTTAGCTCAGCATAGTGGTTGGCGCCTGTAATACCACTAGTCGGGTGTCTGAGGCGAGAGACTTGCTGGAAACCAGGAGACGGAGGTTGCAGTGACCTGAGACTGCACCTCTGCACTGCAGCCTGGGTGACAGAGCGAGATTCCATCTCAAAAAAAAAAAGCCATTGGCTGTGAATGCATGGGTTATGTCTGTGTCCTTCATTCTCCTCCACTGTTCTATGAGCCTTTCTTTATGCCAGCGTCATGCTGTTTTGCTTACTATGGCTCTGTAACATATTTTTAAGTCAGGTAGTGTGATGTCCCTGTTTTCTTGTTATACCTTGAATTCTCAAGACAGTGGGCATCACATACAAAATTTATGGAGCAGAGGACCCCATGACTCCCAGGCCAGGGCCCAACATCAGATAACAGAGTGTTGGCCATGAACCGACCTCACAGATTTCTGCTGAGTAGAAGACAGGCATTCTCATTGCCACACCTCTCTCCTGTCCCGTGTTCTAGGAAATCCTACAAGCGGTTGGCCTTCACCCACTGAACCAAGCTCGAAAACTGGTGAGTAAAGGACCCTCTTGTCTCTGCTTTAGGAAACCTGGGGAGGCGGAAGCCTTGGATTCAAGCGTTGGCTCAGCACCTCCCAGCTCTGTGACTGAGGACCTGTCTTCTACCATCTCTGAACCCCAGACACTCCAACAGTGCAAGGGATCTGGGGCCAGCGCAGGGCTCAGTGAAGTCTCTTACCCTCCAATTTTCTGCAACTGAGACCTCCCTCCTTGAGGCTAGAAGAATGTTTGCAAATCTGACATCCTTCTCAGGAAAAAATGCAGTGTTTGTTCTGCCTGCATTCCTAACTGCAGGATAAATGCCTGGGGGGCTGGAGAGGGAAAGAAAGGGAACATCTGATGAGGGTGGGGCGTTTTAGAGAAGTTCCACTTGCCAAGGAATTAACTCCTGTGGGTCATGATGCAACCCTGGCTGACTCAGCAGAGCAAGAGCGTTGCAGTAAGACAGAACTGAGCTCACGCACGTACACTTTGACTCCATCACTGGCTCGACGCAATCACTCACTGCAACCTCTGCCTCCTGGGTTGAAGATGACTTCAACGCAGGAGGCAGAGGTTGCAGTGAGCCGTGGTTGCAGCACTGCACTCCAGCATGGGTGACACAGGGAGGCTCCATTTCAAAAATTAAAATTAAAAAATACGTAAATATTATATAACACACACAAATGACAAAGGCACCTGAATTCCAATCATCATTTTTCTACTTCTCTATAATTACTTTTTTGATCCCTAATCTTATACGTTAGAAAATCAGCCTAGAACCTCTTCCCTATTTGGAAAGCATCAGATCATATGGAAAATGGGAAAGCCCTGAACCCACCAGCACAGGTCCTGAAATAGAGAAAGTGCTCTATTCATGGCATAAAAGTTGCCCCCTCACCCAAACCCCCACCTCACCCCTACTTCCAGTCACGTGTGGAGATACAGACACATGATGGGGAGGGGAAAACTAATATTCTTTGGAGTGAGCTCAGTTCTTGGACTCAGAGACCAGTGCCAGCACTATCTCCTGGTCCCCTTTCCTACTAATTCACAGAAGGACAGGCTGTATTTTGAAGCAATAGATGATGGAGGGGGTTGTTCCTCCCCCTGCCTCTCAGGTAGACCAGCAACCTATTATACGTCTCACGAGATCACAAAAAGTAACACGTTGCCCACAGGCTTCCGCACTATTTCCTGGCTGTTCCATGTAAGACAGTTCTACTTCACTTCTTTTGATTTTGATTTCACTTTTTTTTCTTTTCTTGGAGAATGTAATTTGTTTGAGTCAAGAGCATTGTGGATGTAGAAGTTGTAAAGCACGTTCACTGTGTATCAGTCCCCATCCAGTCTTCCTGGAGAAGACTCTGAACACCTCCTGGACTGCACCTGGGGCCATGCCAGTTTCTATCACTGACAGTCACTCCAGGGAGACAGAGCACAGACAGAATAAATTACATAAAGCAGGTTCATTACTCACAGATCAGCAGCAAGTGACGGCAGAAGCCTACCTTTCAGGGCGAGCCAGTCCCCTGAGGTTCAGAAAAGCTACCCAAGACATAGGGAGTCACCCCATATGCAGTGTAGCTGGGGGAACCAAAAAGCAGCCCCGCCTGGGTTTTGTACCCTGGAGCCACAGGAAGCACTGGGCTAAAGGACTGCATCACACCCTCCTCTAGAAAGAGCAGGAGGAGAGCCCAGGCTGTTCTGAGACGTTCCTCCTGATCTCAGGACGTTGCTGTCTTAGTCCATTTTTGTTGCTGTCAAGGAACACGTGAGCCTGGGTAACTTCTAAAGAAAACAGATGTGTGTGGCTCACGGTTCTACAGGCTGTACTAGAAGCATGGCACCAGCCTCTATTTTTTGTGATGCCTCAGGCTGCTCCCATTCTGGCAGAAGAGAAGTGAGTGTGTGTGTGCAGAGACCACAGAGATCACATGGCAAGAGAGGGAGTGGGAGGCGGAGGGGTGATCGAGCTTCCAAGTTCTCTTTCACAACCAACTCTCCAGGAACTAGTAGAGGGAAAACTTGCCAATCTCGTCTCATGGGGACAGCTTTAATCTATTCATGATGGATCCACCCCATAAACCAACCACCTCCCACTAAGCCCAACCTCCCACACTGGGGGTGAAATTTCAATGTGAGGTTTGAAGAGGATCAAACATCTAAACCAAAGCAGTTGTATCATCAGCTCTTTCTGTGGTTACTATGAGAACTGTAAGTGAGAAAGCAGGAGAAAGCCGGGTCTCCCGCCATCTGGGTGCTTGTACTAAAGAGACGTTGTGTGTGGTTACCTGGCAATGAAGAGATGAGAGACAGTCCATGAAGAGGAACTGATGTGGTCAGCTTCTTTTGGATTCCCGTCTTCCTCCAGGTAACCCCAGACACCTGCACGTTCTGATTGGGTCCTCAGTGGTCATCATGCTGTTCATCATCCTGCTCTTGTTTCTCCTTCATCGCTGGTGGTCCACGAAAAAGAGTAAGTCTCATGAAGCAGAGACCAGAGACCTCAGGGCCATGTGCTGAAGCAGGATGGAGCACACAGGTGTGTGTTCCTCACTGGCAGGACGGTCCCTGGCCCAAGGCAGGAGCCGCAGAGGCAGGGCTTTCTAGAGAGAGCACCAGACACCCTGCCCCTGCCCTCAGCTCACAGACCATTGCCTGATTCTGAACTGTATCCTCACATCCCTGCAGCCACTGACATCCAGGAGAAGATTCCATGCCAGGCAGAAAGTGGGAGACAGAATCAATGGGATGGGAATTGGGAGCTCTTCATGGGAGGGGTCCTTGTACTCAGAGAGGTAGAATGTGTGAGTCAGGCTGTTGGCAGCGGAGGGGCCTCAGGCACCCATGGCCTCCCCCTGTGTGTTGGTGTCTGTACATGAAATGAGGACCCAGAAGGGCCCTCCCAGGTGTTTTGATGACTTCCGTCTCCTTCAGATGCTGCAGTAAAGGACCAAGAGCCTGCGGTGGACAGAACAGTGAACAGGGAGGTAGGTCCTCCTTGGCCCAGCCTCGGGGATGGGGTCTTATTCCCTAATAGTCCCGAAGAATGTGAGCCCCTCCCTCCGTCAACATTTCCCTCTCTCCAGGACTCTGATGGACAAGACCCTCAGGAGGTGACATACGCACAGCTGGATCACGATGTTTTCACACAGAGAAAAAATGCTCGTCCATCTCAGAGGCCCAAGAGACCCCCAGCAGAAACCAGTGTGTACATGGAACTCCCAAATGCGGAGCCCAGATTGAAAGTTGTCTCCTGTCCGTGAGCACCACAGACAGGCCCTGAGGGGTCCTCTAGGGAGACAATGGCCCTGACTCAAACCCGGCTTGCCAGCTCCAGTGTAACAGCAGCTGGGACCTGAAGGCGTGAGTCTGTGTCTCAGGGGATCGCTCTTCCTCACACCATGAATCTGAACGTGGCTCTTTTTTGCTTACAAATGTCTGCGGTCCTCACTGCCTGCTGGACCGAAAACACACTCCTTTGCTTAACACACAATTCTCCATTTTACTTGACCCCTGCCCACCCCTCCAAACTAACTGGCTTACTTCCTGGTCCTACTTGAGGCTGCAGTCACAGTGAGAAACTCACAAGTCCAGACATACAAGAGGCTCCCTCTTAACACAGCACTTAGACACGTGCTGTTCCACCTTCCCTCTGACTATCTTTCAGCCTTCTGTCATCAGTAAAACTTAAAATTTTTTTTATAATTTCAATGTAGTTCTCTCCTCTTTAAATAAACATGTCTCATGCTTTAGGTAATGTGACCCTTATTTTGCCTAAACTTTTGGTGTTATCATTGCTGTGTCCACATAACCCCATATGTTCTCCAATGGGTTCTCACCCCTGGACTGGGAGCTTCTGGAAGCAGGTGGAGCCTGGTTTGTCTCTGGGACTCCAATTTCCACCCGGATATGCAGCACGTAGGAGGTTCCAACGATCGTGAATCAGATGGACACGTGCTCTTCTTACTCTCTGCAGACCTGGAAAGCTCGCAGAGTAATTCCAAGATGAAGCATCTGCAGGGTCATCGCTCTTGTTAGTCTCGTCTCCACGAGGACACTTATCAAAACATCATCTTTCACACAATAAATACGCAGTGGGTCCTCCATATCTGTGGGGTTTACAGCTGTGTATCCAACCAACGATAAATAAAAAATATTCAGAGAAAAAAATTCCACAAAATTCCAAAAAGCAAAACTGTGCTGAATTAACACAAATGAAGTGGTGTGTAGGCTGTATCAGGAATTATAAGTAATCCAGAGAGGATTTGGTTTATACAGGAGGATGTACAAGGTTATATGCAAATGCTATGCCATTTCATGTAAGACGCTTGAGCATCTGCAGTTTTTACTATCTTATGGGGAGGGGGCTTTCCTGGAACCAATCACCCAGGAATAGCGAAGGATGACTATATTTTTATTCAATTTTTAAAATAAATCAAAATGTATAATAATAGGATTTTAAAAAGCGGTGTTTTAATGGTGTGAAAATAAGCTTAGGTTTATTTTTTCCTACATGTAACCCTATGGTCCAATGTTATTTATTGAGAAGACATTCTATTCCACCTTAATCCACACAGCAGCCTTTGCCAACTGTGAAGGGACTGAGTGTACACGGATGTATTTTACACACTGTTTTCTGCTCAGTGGCTCTCTGTGTCCACTTGTGAGGATGCTACACTTTAGATGACCTTATAGAACCCCTTAAAATTTGGTAGCCTGAGTCTTCTAGTTTCCCCTTTTTCTTTAAGATTGTCATTATTATTATAGGCTATTTGCTAGGCCAGGTGTGGTGGCAGGTGCCTGTAATCCCAGCTACTGAAGAGGCTGAGGCAGGGAATTCCTTGATCCCAGGAGGCAGAGGTTGCAGTGAGCCGAGATTGTGTCACTGCGCTCCAGCCTGGGAAACAGAGCAAGACTCATCTCAAAAAACAAACAAACAAAAAGATAGGAGCATGGAAGCTATAGTAGTCAGGATCCTCCAGAAAAAAATAATAGAATAATAATGCTAATAATGATATATATATTGATAGTAATTATAGACAATGATGGATGAATAATGATAGGTATATAATGATATCACAAAGTGATAGACAGATGGATGATGATAGATATATAATGATTGTTACACAGATAGAATATTTATACATTGGCTCACGCAGCTATGGAGGCTGCCATCTGCAAACTGGAGACCCAGGAGAGTTCGTGTGTGGGTCCAGTCTAAGTGCAAAAGTCTGAGAACCAGGAGAGTCAGTGGTATACACAGTCCAAAAGCTGGCAGGCTCGTGCCACGTGCAGTGGCTCACGTCAGTAATCCCAGCACTTTTGGAGGCCAAGGCAGGCAGATCACCTGAGGTCAGAGTTCAAGACCACCCTGGCCAACATGGAAAAACCTCATCTTTACTAAAAACATGAAAATTAGGATTAGTGGCACTCGCAGGTAATCCCAGCTACTCAGAGGCTGAGGTATGAGAATTGCTTGAACCCAGGAGGTGGAAGTTTGCAGTGAGCCAAGATCGTGCCACTGTACTCCAGCCTAGGCAACAGAGCAAGACTCCATCTCAAAAAAAAAAAAAGAAAAGAAAAGAAAAAGAAAAAAGAAAAAAGCTGGCAGGCTCAACATCTAAAGAGTCAACATTTTAATGAGAGTCCAAGGGCCAGAAAAGACAGCTGTCAGGCTGGACATGGTGGCTCACACCTGTAATCCTACCACTTTGGGAGGCTGAGGCAGGCAGATCACGTGAGGTTGGGAATTCGAGACCAGCTTGGTCAACATGGAGAAACCCCATCTCTACTAAAAATATAAAATTAGCCAGGTATAGTGTCACATGCCTGTAATCCCAGCTACTCGGGAGGCTGAGGCACGAGAATCACTGGAACCCAGGAGGTGGAGATCATGGTAAGCCAAGATCATGCCACTGTGCTCCAATGTGCCTTATAAATTCTACCAAGTCCAGTGATAATCTCATTCAGAAACACCCCCACAGACACAGAATAATGTTTAACCACATATCTGGGCACCCCATGGCGATTTTACCATTCCTGTTCCACAGATGAAGAAAACAAAAAACCATCTCCAATGTTGTGGAAAGTTGACACAGTCTGTCCCTGCCCATTAGTCAATGTCGGCCACTGAGTTTCCCAAAATTCAACCAGTTAGTAAGCATCTATCTCCTGATAGAAAGCCATATCATTTGTAAACAATAACAATCTTTTTTTTTTTTTTTTGAGACACAGTCTCACTCTATTGCCCAGGCTGGAGTGCAGTGGCACGATCTCAGCTCACTGCAACCTCCACCGCCCGAGTTCAAGTGATTCTCCTGCCACAGCCTCCCAAGTAGCTGGGATTACAGGTGTCTGCCACCACGCCTGGCTAACTTTTCATATTTTTAGTAGAGGTGGGGTTTCACTATGTTGGCCAGGCTGGTCTCAAACTCCTGACTTGAGTTGATCCACCCGCCTCAGCCTCTCAAAGTGCTGGGATTACAGGTGTGAGCCATCGCACCTGGTTCCTTAAATTTATACAAATTTTAAAAAACACACAGTAAAATAAATTAGGAGATTCTTTCTTTAGCGATGACAAATAGCACCACAGAAAATGCCTCCACATTCAGCATTAAGATAATCTCCAGGGTAAGGGTATACTTATACTGCATGCCTGATCAAGCCCAAGAAAATATACTCTGACTGTGAATCCCAGGGATGAAACCTAAGTTCAGAACAGACAAAGCCACAGAGCTTTTGAGTGATGGCCCAGTGAAGACCATCTCTGCCTGTATGCCATCCACCTTACATTCTGTCCCAGGACCCTCCATTTGGATGTAGGAACGGGTTCACAGATGGATTTGAACACCATTAGACCCTGGCTTGAGGAAAATTCACTTCTCATTTGAAACATAAATAGAAATATAGGTCTTAGGCAGGAGGATTTCTTGAGGCCAGGAGTTAGAGACTATCCTGGCCAACACAGCAAGATCCCATCTCTATTTAAAAAAAAAAGAAAGAAAGAAATATAGGTCTTCTCTTAGGCTCCACCCAAGAACAACCCGGAACTAAGTTCTTTGGGAATGCACTGTTCCTCTTCGCTCTGAGTCAACAGATGTAGAAATTCTCGACGGGGGGCTCTGTCCTCATACTTCCTGAGAAGCTTATACTTGTGAGTGTCAGTCATCCTGCTAATGTGCATTAAAAAGAGGCCAACGGGCTGAGGCTGTGTCAGCATGATGGCCCCCAAAGAGACCACCCTCCTCTGTCTTGGTGAGTTTCAGAGTAAAGTGGGTTAGAGGGGAAGATGGGAGAATCCCAAAATAACCAGGGTGTCTCTTAACAGTATGACTAGGAGATTTTAATGGCTGCGAAGGAGAGTCTGATCTCCTTAGTAGAAGGGCAGTCTTTGCCAACATATCTATAACTTTGTCTCTGCCCAAGTCCAAGCTAGGTTGTGGGGCTCAGTTATTTTTGTTAAACCCATGGTGTGTTGTCTGGGATTCATGATGGTTCCAGGGTTCCTGTCAAGGAGAGACTTAGAGGTTGGACTCTAAAAGGGAAAAATAAAGCATAAGCCTCAAAACGGTGATTGCTGTAGAAGGAAAAAAATATGATTGAACCCCATGTAGTAATACGGTTACTAGTATTTTGTTGAAGATTTTTGCATTTATGTTCAACAAAGATACTGTCCCAAAGTTTTCTGCTTTTGCCGTGTCTCTGCCATGTTTTGTTATCAGGATGATGCTGGCCTCGTAAAATGAGTTGGGGAGCAGTCCCTCTGCCTGGATTTTTCTTTGAATAGTTTCAGTAGGAATAATACCAGCTCTTTTTTATATACCTGGTGGGATTCAGCTGTGAATCCATCTGGTACTGGGCTTTTTCTGGTCTGTCATTACGGAGGGTGATTTGTCGTAAAGGTTGGAAATGGAAGCTTGATTTTCCGTAAATCTCTCTCTTCCAGTGCTCTGTCTGGGCCAGAGGATTCAGGCACAGGAAGGTAAGTGTCCCATCAATCTCTCCCAGCCCTTTAGACCCTCTTGGAAACTCTGGGATAAAGAAATTGAGGAATAGCCTGAAGCACAGAGGGATTCCTATTTTAGTCCCCATTCTAGCTGTTTCTGCTGTGCCTCCCTTGATTAGTTCCATCTCACTTCGTTATCTCCAGACCCTTCAGACTCATTTGTGCTCAGGCCTGGATTTACAGTTAGTCCTTGCCTCTGTTAGACTGTCCGTGAGGGACCTGTCACCTGCTGATTGCTCCCCACCACAGGAGTGAGGAAGTCAGGAGTCATTTGCCCAACATCCTTCCTTACAGTGATTCTATTTTGTTTTAGCAACCTACTTCCTCCTGTCTATTTACATCACTTCATTTAAAGGAAACCTGCCATAGTCTAACCCTACGGAACATTCTAGTACTCTACAGTGCTGCTGCAGCACTAAGCATGAAGCCGTCTTAGAGTACTACTGAGTATTCTGCCACCCCAACTTCTACTGCCTTAGCCTCCTAGTGGGTGTGAGCCCCATGTCCATCCATGTCTCCTCTCTTCCCACTCCTTCCAAAGACCATACCCTGAATTCTTTGTGTGTTGAACTATATTCATGCTTCGTATCCGTGAGCATGGAATGTTTTTCCATGTGTTGTGTCATCTCTGATTTCTTTGACAGGGTTTTTGTAGTTCTTGCAGAGATATTTCAGCTCCCCTGTTAGCTGTCTTCCTAGGCATTTTATACTTTTTGTGGTAATTGTGAATGAATTCTGTTCTTGATTTGGCACTCAGCTTAGACATTTTTGGTGTGCAGAAATGCTGCTGATTTTTGTATATTGATTTTTCTGTCCTGGACCTTTGCCAGACTTGTTTATCAGATTAAGAAGCATGACTGGGCACAATGGCTGACGCCTGTAATCCCAGCACTTTGGGAGGCTGAGGTGGGCAGATCACCGGAGGTTAAGAGTTCAAGACCAGCCTGGCCAATGTGGTGAAACCCCGTCTCTACTAAAAACACAAAAAATTAGCCGGGTGTGGTGGTGCATGCTGTAATCCCAGCTACTCCAGAAGCTGAGACAGGAGAATTGCTTGAACCCTAGAGACAGAGGTTGTAGTGAGTCAAAATTGAGTGACAGAATAAGACTCTGTCTTAAGAAAAAAAAAAAAAAAGGATTTGGGCAGAGACTGGTTTTCTAGATACAGAATCATATCATCTGCAAACAAGGATAGTTTTACTTCCTTTCTTCCTATTTAGATGCCCTTTTATTTATTTCTCTTGCCTGATTGCTCTGGCCAGGACTTTCAGTACTATGTTGAGTAGAAGTTGTAAGGTTATTGCCGAGTTTAAAATGAGGAAACGGAGACCAGCATAAGAAGATTAAATGCCAATTTATTTAACTCCCAGGCGAGGTTCCACGGTCCTGGGGGAAAGGGCCAGGGAAGTCGCACCAACTTCCTGGGCGTGGGGTTTTTATGGCTAGGAGGACCGAGTAACAGCTGGGTGCTCTGATGGACTCCAGGGGAGCGGGCTTGGCCATTGGTTGGCTGGTTGTTGGGCGGGTTTTCCGGTGGGAGAGCTGACCAGGAGCCTTGCATCAGCTGGAACCTTCCAGGGGAGCCATGCGGCAGAGTTAGGTGCTGTGTTCAGATCCTGGTGCCGGGTGCAGAGATGGGTATGTCCAATCCCCAAGTGAGGCAACCGGCCTTACAGAAGTGATGAGAGAGGGCATCCACGTCTTGTGCCAGTTTTCGTGGGGAATGCTTCCAGCTTTGCCCATTCACTATGATGTTGGCTGTGAGTTTGTCAGATCATTCTTATTATTCTGAAATACGTTTCTTCAGTGCCTAGTTTGTCTAGGTTTTTTAACATAAAGGGATGTTGAATTTCATCAAAAGCCTTATTGAGGTGATTATGTGGGAGTTTTTTTTCGTTCTGTTGATGTGATGAATCACATTTAAGATTTGTGTATATTGAATCGATCTTGTATCCCAGAAATAAACCCTACTTGATGGTAGCGGATTTGCTTTCTGATGTGCAGCTGGGTGGTTTGCTAGTGTTTTCTTGAGGATTTTTGCCTTTGGGTTCAACAAGGATATTGTCCCGAAGTTTGCTAGTTTTGATATGTCTCTGCCACATTTTTGCATCAGGATGATGCTGGCCTCACAGAATGCGTTGTTGAGGGCTCCCTCCTCCTTCGTTTTTTGGAATAGTTTCAGTAGGAGTAGCACCAGCTCTTCTTTATATATCTAATGGGATTCAGCTGTGAGTCTGTTTGCAACTGGGCTTTCTCTGCTCTGTAGGATTTTTATTACTGATTCCGTTTTGGAGCTCATTATTAGTCTGTTTATGGCACGATCTCGACTCACTGCAACCTCCGCCTCCCAGGTTCAAGCAATTCTCCTGCCTCAGCCTCCCAAGTAGCTAGGATTACAGGTGTGCACCATCACGCCCAGGTAACGTGGTTTGGGTTTTTTTTTTTGTTTGTTTTTTGTTTTTTTGGTATTTTTATTAGACGTGGAGTCTCATCATGTTGGCCAGGCTGGTGTCGAACTCCTGACCTCAAGTGATCCGCCCACCTCAGCCTCCCAAAGTGCTGGGATTATAGGCATGAGCCACCACGCTGATCTCTTGCTTCTTTATCCAAATTGCCACTCCCTGCGTTTTAATTAGGACATTTAGGCCATTTACATTCTAGGTTCATATTTGTATGTGCGGATTTTCCCCTGACATATTGTTAGCTGGTTATCATGCAGACTTGTTTGTGTGGTTGTTTCATAGTATCCCTGGTTTGTATACGTAAGCGTGTTTTTGTAGTGACTGGTGATGGTCTTTTCTTTCCATATTTAGAGCTCCTCTTAGGACCCCTCGTAAGACAGGCCTGGTGGTAATAAATTCTCTCAGTATTTGCTTGTCTGAAAAGGATCTTATTTCTCCATCACTTATGAAACTTAGTTTGGCTGGGAATGAGATTCTTGGTTGGAAATTCTTTTTTTTTTTTTTTTTTTTTTTCCGAGACAGAGTCTTGCTCTGTCGCCCAGGCTGGAGTGCAGTGGCAATGATCTGAGCTCACTGCAACCTCCACCTCCCAGGTTCAAGCAATTCTCCTGCCTCAGCCTCCCAAGTAGCTGGGACTACAGGCACGCACCACCACGCCTGGCTAATTTTTGTATTCTTGGTAGAGACAGGGTTTCACCATGTTGGCCAGGCTGGTCTCAAACTCCTGATCTCGTGATCCGCCTGCCTCAGCCTTCCAAAGTGCTGGATGACAGGCGTGAGCCACCGCGTCCGGCCTGAAGCCCTCAGAGTCTTTCTTTGCCCCTTCCCCAGTCTGAGGGCAGCAGGAGCAGCACCACTGCCGTGGGAGCAGCAGAGGCACTTTCTGGAAGCTCCGCCACAGAGAAATGCAGACCCACTGCGACTGGGAAAGCTCCGCCAGAAGGTGGGGCTGCTGTGCTGCTGGCTCAGTCTGTGGCTTGGTGGAGAGCAGGGGTTTGAGGGCTCACAGGGAGGGGAGACTGAGCTCCTGCCTGCATGGAGGCTGTGGTTGCTGGAAGCATGAATGAAGCCCCCAGCCTCTTTGTTTCTCCCAGCAGGGGCAGAGGGGTTGTCAGTTGCCTCTGGGAGTCACTCCCAAGAGCTACTCCGCAGAGAAACACAGAGCCAGGACCAGGGAGCATGCCAAGGGTAGGGCGGCCGCTCTGCAGTCCCGAGCTGGGAGCCCTGCCTGGTAAAGTGGGGGTAGGGACTCACAGGGAAGAGAGACTGGACTCCTGTCTGCATGGTGGCTGCGGCATGCTGGAGGTGAGGTGCCAGCATAGCGACCAGGCCCCGACACGTGAAAAAGAATCGACACAGCTGGGCACAGCGGCTCACGCCTATAATCCCAGCACTTTGAGAGGCCGAGGAGGATGGATCACAAGGTCAGGAGTTCAAGAGCAGCATGGCCAACACGGTGAAACCTCATCTCCCCTAAAAATACAAAAATTAGCCGGGCATGGTTGCAGGTGCCTGTAATCCCAGCTACTCAGGAGGCTGAGGCAGGAGAATCGCTTGAACCTGGGAGGTGGAGGTTGCAGTGAGCCGAGATCACGCCATTGCACTCCAGCCTGCCAGACTAGAGTGAGACTGAGACAAAAAAAGAAAAATTGACACAAGAACTCTGGGAACTCAAAAAGCCAGTTTGTCCCTACTGTGGATTCCTTGGATTGTTTCAAATTTGTCCTCAATTTCAATGAGCTCCCCAGACATCCAGATTCTGAATTCCACGTCCCTCATGTCTGTCATCTCAGTCTAGCTGAGAACCAGATTTCCAGGGGACTATTAAGTTGCCAGCGTTCTTGTGTTGATTCTGTGTGTGTGTGTGTGTGTGTGTGTGTGAGTCTCACTCAGTCACCCAGGCTGGAGTGCTGTGGCATGATCTCAGCTCAGCGCTGCAGCCTTCACCTCCTGGGTGCAAGTGCTTCTCCTGTCTCAGCCTCCCAAATAGCTGGGATTACAGGCGTGTGCCACCACACCCAGAAAAGTTTCATATTTTTAATAGAGACCAGGTTTTGCCATGTTGGTCAGGCTGGAGTGGAGCTCCTGACCTCAGGTGATCTGCCCACCTCAGCCTCCCAAAGTGCTGGGATTACAGACGTGAGTCACCACACCCAGGCTTCGTGTTGATTCTTCCTCATGTGCGAGGGCTGCCATTCCTTTAACTGTGATGTCAGTGGAGTACAGTGACTTGTCTTCATTTTTGGATGTTTTCAGATGCTGGGACTCTGCACAGAATCTTTAATTGTGGCTGGATTTTTTCCTTCATTTTCACGGGCGCTGTGTAACGGTAAAATATTTCAGTGCTGTATTTTGAGTTGTGATCCAGTAGGTGGCACTCGGGAGCGCTGGCCAGCATGTAGAATCTCAGCCACAAGCCTCTTCATGTGTTTGTTCTGTTTTTTGACACAGGATCTTGCTCTGTGGCCCAGGCTGGAGGGCAGTGACTCAATCTCGGCTCACCGCAGCCTCCACCTATCGGGCTAATTGATCCTCCTGAGTAGCTGGGACTACAAGCACACACCACCACACCCAGAAAATTTTGGGGTTTTTCTCTCTCTTTTTTTTTTTTTTTTTTTTTTTTTTTTTGGTAGAGATGGGGTTTCGGCATGTTTACCAGGCTGATGAACCCTTCTCTTAGTATTTGTCAGTGTGCCGGCATTCAGATGTGGGATCTCCAGAGTTTTAAATGCTGCTGCGCTGCTGCCATCATTCAAATCGTCCAGCGAGGATTCGTCAGGCTGGTCTTGAACTCCTGACCTTGTGATCCACCCTCCTCGGCCTCCCAAAGTGCTGGGATTACAGGCATGAGCCACTGCGCCCGGCCTATTTAAAAAAATTTTTTAAATAAAGCATTATAGGTTCTCCACACCCTAATTTATTTTTAATTCCCCCGCAGAGAAGGAAAGGAATGGCTTCCCCCTGGCGGGCCACCTGAGTCTGGGCTTTCTTTTCTTCCAGGGAACTTTCCCATGCCTCTCATATTTGCCAGATCAAGTCCTGTGGTTCCCCGGCATGGATCTGCAAAAATCCAGTGCCGGAGCAGTCCTGAATCTTTCCTGACCCAGCTGGTGATCCAAAAAAACTCCACGTACAAGGAGGTAGACAGGAAACTGGGGTTTTGGAATGAGAGTGAGTTCCTCGTCGACCACATGGATACAAACACAGCAGGGCGCTATCACTGCCGATACAGGAGAGGCTTCAGCTGGTCACATTACAGTGACGCCCTGGAGCTGGTGGTGACAGGTAAGGAAACATCCAGGTTCACGGCCCGGGGGTGGGTTTTTTTCTTATTTTTAATAGAGTTTATTTTTTGAGAAGTTTTAGATTTGCAAAAAAAAAAAAAAAGAGAGAAAAAAAATTCAAGATGGTTGCTTCAGAGTTCTCAGATATCTGGCACCCCATTTTCCCCAGAGTTAGCATCTTACATTACTATGGTACATTTCTTTCTTTTTTTATTATTATTATGCTTTAAGTTCTGGGGTACGTGTGCGGAACGTGCAAGTTTGTTACCTACGTATACACGTGCCATGGTGGTTTGCTGCACCCATTAACCCATCATCTACATTAGGTATTTCTCCTAATGCTGTCCCTCCCTAGCCCCCCACCCCTCAATGGGTCCCAGTGTGTGATGTTCCCCTCCCTGTGTCCATGTGTTCTCATTGTTCAACTCCCACTTATGAGTGAGAACATGCGGTGTTTGGTTTTCTGTTTAGCATGGCACATTTCTTACATTAATGAACATCGACACATTCTCAGATAAAGTCTATAGCTGACTTAGATTTTCTTAGTTTTTACCTGATATTCTCTCTCTGTTCCAGAATCTCATTCAAGATTTCACTTTGCGGCCGGGCGCGGTGGCTCACGCCTGTAATCCCAGCACTTAGGGAGGCCAAGGTGGGGGGATCGCGAAGTCAGGATTCGAGACCAGCCTGGCCAACATGGTGAAACCCCATCTCTACTAAAAATACAAAAATTAGCCAGGCATGGTGGCGTGCACCTGTAGTCCCAGCTACTCAGGAGGCTGAGACAGGAGAATTGCTTGAACCGGGAGGTGGAGGTTGCAGTGAGCTGAGATCGTGCTACTCCACCCCAGCCTGGGTGACAGAGAGAGACTCTGTCTGAATTAAAAAAAAAAAAAAAAAGATTACACACTGCATTCAGATGTCACGTATATTTAGGTTTCTCTTGGCTGTCACAGCTTCTCAGATGATCCTGGTTTTCCATGACTTTGTTAGTTTTGAGAGTAGCGGTCCATTAGTTTCGAGGGTACTCCCGCTATTGGAAATTGCCTGATGTTTTGCTTATGGCTAGACTGGGTTATGGGTTATTGCAAGGAAGACCACAGAAGCAAAGTGCCATTTCCACCTCCTCGTAGCAAAGGTTTATGCTGTACATGTGAATATGGCTATTGATGTTGGGTGACAGAGTGAGACCCTCTCTAAAAAAAAAAAAATATTTCTTTTTAAAAATAGATAAATCTTTAAAAAGAAAAAAGAGGCTGGGCATGGTGGAACAAACCTGTAATCCCAATGCTTTGGGAGGCTGCGACAGGTGGATCACTTGAGGTCAAGAGTTCCAGACCAGCCTGGCCAACATGGTGCAACTCTGTCTCTACTAAAAATACAAAAGTTACCTGGGTGTGGTGGCAGGTACCTGTGATCCCAGCTACTCAGGAGGCTGAAACAGGAGACTGGCTTGAACCTGGGAGGCAGAGGTTGCAGTGAGCCAAGATCGCGCCACTGCATTGCAACCTCAGTGACAAAGCAAGACTCCGTCTCAGAAAATAATAATAAATAAAAAGAATAAAGAAGAAACGTTCTTGCTAATATCTCACTCTTTTCTCTCTTAGGCTTGTATGACAAACCCTTCCTCTCTGCAGATCAGGGTCGTGTGGTGAGGCCGGGAGAGAATATTTCCTTCACGTGTACCTCGGCACACCTCCCATTTGATAGGTTTTCACTGGCCAAGGAGGGAGAACTTTCTCTGCCACAGCACCAAAGTGGGGAACACCCGGCCAACTTCCCTCTGGGTCCTCTGGACCTCAACGTCTCAGGGAGCTACAGGTGCTACGGTTGGTACAGCAGCAGTCCCTATGTGTGGTCCGCCCCCAGTAATGCCCTGGAGCTTGTGATCACAGGTAGGTGCCTCCCAGGCCAGCCCCGTGTCCGGGTCGGCTGTCAGGGCTATGTCACTGGGATCTGAAGAGGTGCACGCAGGGTAAAGTGAAGAGAAGCAGAGACTCTCTCAATCCAGGACAGAGGAGAGGGGAGGGCTTCCCCGACTCTACGCTTGGCTTTCACTTTCTCGCTAGTTCTCCAGTCTGTGTTCCTTGAAAACGTGTGGTCTGTTGAGAAAAGAAGGGCTAAACTTTTTTTCTTTTGAGACGGAGTCTCACCTCGTGGTCCAGGCTGGAGTGCAGGGGCACTATCTCAGCTCACTGCAACCTCTGCCTCCCGGGTTCAAGGGATTCTCCTGCCTCAGCCTCCCGAGTAGCTGGGATTACAGGTGTCTGCCTCCACACCTGGCTAATTTTTTAGTATTTTTCGTGAAGACAGGGTTTCACTATGTTGGCCAGACAGGTGTTGAACTCCTGTCCTCAGGTGATCCAGCAGCCTCAGCCTCCCAAAGTGCTGGGATTACAAGTATGAGTCCCCACTACTGGCCACAAAGAGCTAACTTTTATTTTATTTTGTTTTCTGATATGGAGTCTTGCTCCGTCACCAAGCATGGAGTACAGTGGCGCGATCTTGGCTCACTGCAACCTCTGCCTCCCGGGTTCAAGCAATTTTCCTGCCTCAACTTCCTGAGTAGCTGGGACCATAGAGATGGGGTTTCACCAGGTTGGCCAGGCTGGTCTCGAACTCCTGACCTTGTGACCCACCCGCCTCAGCCTCCCAAAGTGCTGGGATTACAGGCATGAGCCACCGTGCCCGGCCAAGAAGGGTTGACTTTTAGAGTCACATGTTTGTGGGCTGTTGAGACAGTAGACACCAGGCTCAGCCTCGACTAACATACCCCTCCTTTCCAGTTGCAGCTGGAAATCCTTGAACTCACCAACAGTACTAGAGTTCACTGTGACGATCAAGTGGGGACTGAGAGCTCATAGGAAAGGCTTTTAAAACCTCTATCATGAGCCCCATTTCTATTTTATTTATTTACATATTGATTTATTTTGAGTCAGAATCTCGCTCTGTCACCCAGGCTGGAGTGCAGTGGCTCAATCTCTGGTCACCCTGCAGCCTCCGCCTCCCGGGTTGAAGCAATTCTCGTGCCTCAGCCTCCCGACTAACTGAGACCACAGTCATGCACCACCACGCCCGGCTAATTTTCGTACTGTTAGTAGAGATGGGGTTTTGTCATGTTGCCCAGGCTAGTCTCACACTCCTAACCTGACTTCAGGTGATCCTCCCACCTCGACCTTCCAAAGTGCTGGGATTGCAGGCGTGAGCCACCTCGCCTGGCCTGTAATTTCAGAGCGATACATCCTTGAGAGGAACATAGCCTTATGCAGTTCATATAACAAATGAAGAAAGGAAGAAAAAAGATTCGGAAAAAGCAGTGTCTAGCAAAAAAAATCACCCAATAGTAGAGGTAAATTTTACCTAAGTTAATCTGAAATCTTCCCCCTCTAGTTTCCATGTACCAACAGTGTAATATTGTTTGTATGAGAGGAACACCAACTGTTTTCCAGGGTGAGGACAGAGGAGAGAATTCAGGTTTCTGAACGTGTGGTGGTGTTGTAGAGACATGAGTAGACATTCAGTGAAATCACCAAGTGAGGAGAGAAGGAAAAGAAAACACAGCCTGGCTGACCAGGTGCGGCGGCTCACACCTGTCATCCCAGCACGTTGGGAGGCTGAGGTGGGCGGATCACAAGGCCAGGAGTTCAAGACCAGCCTGACCAACATGGTGAAACTCTGTCTCTACTAAAAATACAAAAAATTAGCTGGGTATTGTGGCGCACACCTATAATCCCAGCTACTCGGGAGGCTGAGGCAGGAGAATCGCTTGAACCTGAGAGGCAGAGATTGCAGTGAGTCGAGATCATATCACTGCACTCTAGCCTGGGTGACAGAGCAAGACTCTGTCTCAAAAAAAAAAAAAAAAAAGAAAAGAAAAGAAAGAGGCCGGGCGCGGTGGCTCACACCTATAATCCCAGCACTTTGGGAGGCCAAGGCGGGTGGATCACGAGGTCAAGAGATCGACACCATCTTGGTCAACATGGTGAAACCCCATCTCTACTAAAAATACAAAAATTAGCTGGGCATGGTGGTGAGTGCCTGTAATCCCAGCTACTCAGGAGGCTGAGGCAGGAGAATTGCCTGAACCCAGTAGGCGAAGGTTGCGGTGAGCCGAGATCGTGCCATTGCACTCCAGCCTGGGTAACAAGAGCGAAACTCCGCCTCAAAAAAAAAAAAAAAAAAGAAAGAAGAAAGAAAGAAAAAACACAAGCTGCCCATGATCACCTCCTTCCCAGTTTATGGGACTTCCTTGGAAACCAAAGTTCCTTGTCTATGGACACAGTCTTGGTAACTGATCAGCGTGGTGCTGGTGAAGTGTGAGCTCATTGAGGAGATGTCTGAGGGAGTCACATTTTGGCAAACGAATAGGGAAATGAGCTCCCATGGCAGGGCTCTGGGGCTGGGATGGAATGAAACACAGCCGCCAACCATTCCTCTCCTTCGGTTATGTCTCTAGACTCCGTGAGCCAAGATTACACAGTGCAGAACCTGATCCGCATGGCCGTGGCAGGACTGGTCCTCATGGCTCTCTTGGCCATACTGGCTGAAAATTGGCACAGCCATAGAGCGTTAGGCAAGGAAGCCTCGGCTGACGTGGCTGAACTGAGCTGGAGCAAACAGACATGTCAGACAGAATTGACCTTTGGACAAACACCACGTGTCTGCAAGTGAACACCTGGATGTGAAGGGAGAGATGACTCGGGACTTGTGGAGTCCTACGAAGCCCCTGAAGGACATGGGGGAGAAGAGCCCACTAACAAGCTTGAATCCATTTTCTTTTCCTTTTCCTTTTTTCAGACGGAGTCTCACTCTGTCGCCCAGGCTGGAGTGCAGTGCAGCAATTTCAGCTCACTGCAACCTCCGCCTCCCAGATACAAGCGATTCTTGTGCCTCCACCTCCCAAGTAGCTGGACCTTCAGGTGCACGCCACCACACCTGGCTAATTTTTGTATTTTTAGTACAGATGGGGTTTCGCCATGTTGGCCAGCTGGTCTCGAACTCCTGACCTCAAGTGATCCACCCACCTTGGCCTTCCAAAGTGCTGGGATGACAGGCGTGAGCCACCGTGTCCCGTCAGATTCATTTTCAAACCAAATCAAATGGTATTTCCTTGTGCAGACCTGACACCATTTGCAGCCTACCTTTCTGAACATCCGTTATGGTTTTCCATCTTTATCTGTCTTCTGATTTTTTATATCCTGTTTAATATATATTGTCCTTCTTTTTATATTTGTAATGTGTTTTCCCTGAATATAAATAGCTGGTGACCATGGCAAACATATTCAGTAACCCTCCTCCTTTATTTTTGTTGTTGAGATGAGGAGCTCCCTGTGTTGCCCAAGCTGGTCTTGAACTCCTGGTCTCAAGCAACCCTCCTACCTCAGCCTTCTGTTGTGTTCATCTACAAATTGATGAGGGTGAAAGTCATAATCCTACAGTGAGGATTATCCTATTTATTTCACAAACCCTGTTTCTTTCTTTCTCTCTCTCCCTCTCTCTCTTTTTTTTTTTTTTTTTTTTTTTTTTTTTTTTTTTTTTTTGATGGAGTTTTACTCTTGTTGCCCAGGCTGGAATGCAATGGCATGATCTTGACTCACTGCAACCTCCACCTCCCGGGTTCCAGCAATTCTGCCTCAGCCTCCCAGGTAGCTGGGATTACAGGCATAGTGGAGACGGGGTTTCTCCATGTTGGTCAGGCTGGTCCCAACCTCAGGGGATCTGCCTGCCTCGGCCTCACAAAGTGCTGGGATTACAGGCGTGAGCCACTGCGCCTGGCCCACAAACCCTATTTCTAAGGGATTTTCATACAAAGAACAGAGGCATGTGTTTCACATCAACCCATTAATTTATTTTTTCAGTTAGTTTTCTTAATAATTGGAGGTCTGTATTATTTAATCATTATAGGGCTTAAGGTTTTTCGCTGTGTCCCCAGGGGCAGGCAAGCTCTGAAATGAATCTGGATAACTCATCTTTATCTTCAGACTGGAGTTCATCATCCATTGGAATTCTAATGTCATGAAGCTGGTTCATCAACATAAACAGTGAATTATATGAGCAACTTAAAAACAATAAATTGGCCGGCTGCAGTGGCTCACGCCTGTGATTCCAGCACTTTGGGAGGCTGAGGCAGGTGGATCACGAGGTCAAGGGATCAAGACCATCCTAGTCAACATAGTGAAACCCCGTCTCAAAAAATAAATAAATAAATAAAAATAAATCATCCATCTCAAACTCAGAAGGCAACTTGTGTTAGTGTGATGCTGGCTGTTATAAAAATAAATAAATAAGCTTCAAATAGCTTTGGCTTCAAATGAAGGCTAAGGAGTTCTGGGACTGAGTTCTGTCTTCTTCTTTTTTTTTTTTTTTTTTTTTTTTTTTGAGATGGAGTTTTGCTCTCGTTACCCAGGCTGGAGTGCAATGGCGTGATCTCGGCTCACTGCAACCTCCGCCTCCTGGGTTCAGGCAATTCTCCTGCCTCAGCCTCCTGAGTAGCTGGGATTACAGGCACGCGCCACCATGCCCAGCTAATTTTTTGTATTTTTAGTAGAGACGGGGTTTCACCATGTTGACCAGGATGGTCTCGATCTCTTGACCTCGTGATCCACCCGCCTCGGCCTCCCAAAGTGCTGGGATTACAGGCTTGAGCCACCACGCCTGGCCGAGTTCTATCCTTTTATCTCACCTTCCATATGTCTCCCTTTCCCTCTCATCACTCCCACTGGTAGGGTCCCATTACAGGCAAGTAATTCTCCTCCTCAGCCTCCTGAGTAGCTGGGATTACAGGCACGCGCCACCATGCCCAGCTAATTTTTTGTATTTTTAGTAGAGACGGGGTTTCACCATGTTGACCAGGATGGTCTCGATCTCTTGACCTCGTGATCCACCCGCCTCGGCCTCCCAAAGTGCTGGGATTACAGGCTTGAGCCACCACGCCTGGCCGAGTTCTATCCTTTTATCTCACCTTCCATATGTCTCCCTTTCCCTCTCATCACTCCCACTGGTAGGGTCCCATTACAGGCAAGTAATTCTCCTCCTCAGCCTCCTGAATAGCTGGGATTACAGGTGCCTGCCACCACGCCCAGCTCATTTTTTGTATTTTTAGTAAAGACGGGGTTTCACCATGTTGGTCAGGCTGGTCTCAAATTCCTGACCTCTGGTGATCTGCCTGCCTGGGCCTTCCAAAGTGTTAGGATTACAGGTTTGAGCCACCACACCGAGACTTCCAGTCAGAGTGTTTTATTAGGAGAGTAGAGTGCCTCCTTTTTTCACAGACCTGGAGGTATATTAACAGGACTTCTCTAATGGTAGGAGTGTTTTTTTCCCTTTTGAAATGGGGGCCTCACTCAGTTATCCAAGTTGGAGTGCAGTAGTATAATCATAGCTCACTGCAGCCTTGATCTCTTGGGCTGAAGTGAATATCCCACCTCAGCCTCTCAAGTAGCTGTAAACATAGGCACATGCCACCATGGCTGGCTATTTTATTATTATTATTATTATTAGTTTTGTAGAGAAGAAGGAATCTCACTTTGTGGCTTACACTCCTACCTATAATAACTTAGAAGACAGAAAATATATCTAATGAACTTGTTATCTGGTAATATGATTTCTAAACAGAATCTTGAAGGGGTCAAATGACTTTCTAAGCTGCCTATAAAAGAGAAAGATGGTCAGGTGCAGTGGCTCATGACTGTAATGCCACCACTTTGGGAGGCTGAGGCAGGCGGATAACAAGGTCAGGAGTTCGAGAACAACCTGCCCAATATGGTCAAACCCTGTCTCTACAAAAATACAAAATACAAAAAATTAGCTGGGTGTGGTGGTGGGTGCCTGTAATCCCAGCCACTTGGGAGGCTAAGGCAGGGGAATCACTTGAATTTGGGAAGCAGAGGTTGCAATGAGCCAAGATAGTGCCACTGCACTCCAGCTGGGGTGACAAGAGCGAAACTCCATCTCAAAAAAAGAAAAAAAGATAAGCTAAAGGGAAAAAAAATTTATGTTGGCAAACATAATTTTCAAAGACTATAAAGGGGATGGTCAGCGAAGGTTTTCTGGTTCGAAAAATAAAATTGTTTCTCTTTCCCAATATTTACAGCTACTAGAATGTTCTCAGAGTGAAATGAAGCCTAAGCTGAAGAGGAGAGATATCAGTGGTGTAACTCAGTGTTTCTCTGCTGGCCAATTTTACTTTTCAGAAGACATTTGGAGACTGTCTGGAGATGTTTTCTGTTGTCATAACTGGGAAGGGATGCTTCTGGCATCTAGTGGGTAGAGGCCAGGGGTGCTGCTAAACATTCTACAATGCACAGGACAGCTTTCCACAGCAAAGAATCATCTAGCCCAAATGTTAATAGTGCCCCAGAAGAGAAGGTCTGAAGTCACTGTGACTCTTTGTTAAGCCATTGGAAAGATTCAAGATGGTGTCAAGTAAACCCTTCAGCTAGACTTAAGGTCATATAAAAATCATATGGTCACAGTCCCATAGCAGTCTTAAATGCCCAAAAGGTGCACAGTCCTGTCTTGCAAAGAATTGAGGGTATATTTTTTTCCAAAAGAGAATAATCTGATACACAGGAAACCCACAAAGTTTTAAGGGAGTAGTCATAGAGGCAAAATGGCCACTATGTTGGAGTAAATGAATCTAAAGACACGTACATTGCAAAAGTATTTTTTATTTCCCTGGCTTTCTTTTCTTTTCTTTTCTTTTCTTTCTTTCTTTTCTTTCCTTCTTTCTTTCCTTTCCAATAAGCCTTTTGCACTCCTAAGTCCTCAGCTTTGAAAAGACAGGAATCAGGCTGAGACATACACTTATTAGTCAATATGGGTCATTTCTCATAGAAAAGGAAAGATTTCTCACGCCTTACATCTGAGAGTCTTAACAGCAGAACCAAAGACAGTTGAGAGCAATGAAACGGGAAGCCAAACCCAAAGAGAGAAATCAGACCCTAATCAGAGCCCCCTCTCTCCCTGCAGAGTTAGGAGCCTGGTGTTATGTACCCAGCTTGGTTTCATTATTTGGATGAGCAGTGATTGTTACATGTTTCTCATTCTACTCTCTTTTTGTGTTTCAGTGTTTCTCATCTACTCTTTTTTTTTTAATTTACAGATTAGAATAAAACAAAATACGGAAAACCACAGTACAAAAAAAAAACCCAGATAACTTAAAATGTCTTAAGGTAAATTATCTGGCTGTCATCATTCTAGTCTAGAAATAGAACTTTTCCTGCAGCCAAAAGCTCTTTTGTGTCTCTCATTCTAAACATATCCTGACACTTTCCATAATTACTTCCTTGGATATTTCAAGACTATCCCTCAAGGGTCCATCCCTAGACACTATAATGTAGATTTTCCTATTTTTAACAATGTATATTTTATGTCTTCTTTAATCTATAATATTCCCCTTTATCCCTTTCATTTCCAAAAATAAAGAGAGAGAATGTTAGAATGAATTTTATAGTGTTGGGTTGAAGTAAGAGACATCAGCATGAACCCATGGCTGTGTGTGTGTGATACGGATAGGTGATAGGCAGAAGACAGATAGATAGACAGATGAAGATAATTGATAGATAGAGATGTGTGTATACAAATTAGCATGCATACTTACATTTTCTTTTCTTTTTTCTTTTTTGAGACAGATTCTCACTCTGTTGCCCAGGCTGGAGTGCAATGGCACAGTCTCATCTCACTGCAACCTTCGCCTCCTGGATTAAGTGATTCTTCTGCCTCAGCCTCCTGAGGAGCTGGGATTACAGGCATATGCCACCATGCCCGGCTAATTTTTGTACTTTTTAGTAGAGATGGGATTTCTCCATGTTGCTTGGGCTGGTCTCGAAATCCCAACCTCAGGTGATCCACCCGCCTTGGCCTCCCAAATCGCTGGGATTACAGGTGTGAGCTTCTGCGCCCAGCCTTAGAGTTTTATTTTATTTTTTTAAGAGACATGACAATTAAATAAAGTTGCATAATCTTGGATTAAATCCTAAACCAAATACACGTCACTGCTGAAACAAGTGGTGAAATTTGAATAAAGTCGATAGCTTAGGCAACAGTGTCCTATCAATGATATTTCTTGACTTTGAACATCAATAACGTAACAAAATGTCCTTGGATTTAGAACTATAACTTGAAGTGATTCAAGGTTAGGGCATCAGCCCTGGGCATGACTTCTACATCGCAGAACTTGAGAAGTTAACCCAGGAAAAAAAAAAAGAAGAAAAGAGGCGGGGCTCAGTGGCTCACGCCTGTAATCCCAGCACTTTGGAAGGCCAAGGCGGGTGGATCACTTGAAGTCAGAGGTTCGAAACCAGCCTGTCCAACATGGTGAAACCCCATCTCTAAAAAAAAAAGAAAAACAAGAAGAAGAAATGAAACGAAAAAAGGGGTGGGGCAGAGAAATTTTTAAAAAAGAGAGAGAAAGAGAGAAGTTGACCCAGAATTCTATTTCAGGCTGAGCAGAAAGTTGTCAGAGGAGCTGGCTAGACCACAGCTGTGTCATAGAGACCGTGGCTTTTCCGTAGACTCACGGTCAGAGGTGGAGGGGAATTGTGAACGTTCTTATGAAAAAAGTCAACGTGAAAGCCACGTGGTGATGAGGGTTGGCCTCATCCACCACTTCCTCTGCATCTCCCTGGCACGCTGGGCTCAGTCACCACCTCACTGACAGCAGAATCAGAGCGATGCCTTCCACACTCCCTGCCCTGCTGTGCCTCGGTGAGTTCTTGCCTGGATGGGGAATGGAATCAGGGTGTGCCCGGGAAGCAACGGGTCTCATTACTCCCATCTTGCAGGACTGTGTCTGAGCCAGAGGATTAGCACCCAGCAGCGTGAGTCATTCCTTCAAAGCTCAGGGTCGCTTTTACGGGTTCAGGCCAAGCACCCTCCACCCAAACACAGCTGAGGAGAGGGGGCAGGGCGCGGGCTTCCCAGGAGGGCTTAGGGCCAGCAGCTGGGTGGAGCCTAGGGTGGGGAGGTGGGCTCGGCTGGGACTCCAGCGTCTGATTCCCTTCCAGAGACTCTCCCAAAACCCTCCATCTGGGCCAAGCCCAGTTTCATGGTTCCAAAGGAAAAGCCGGCGACCATCTGTTGCCAGGGAAATTATGGGGCTGTTGAATACCAGCTGCATTTTGAAGGAAGTCTTTCTGTCGTGGAGAGACCAAAACCCCCTGAGCGCATTAACAAAGTCAAGTTTCACATCCCGGCCATGACGTCCCGCACGGCAGGGCAATACAGCTGCTTCTATCGGGTTGGGGAGCTCTGGTCAGAGCCCAGCGACCCACTGGATCTGGTAGTAACAGGTAAGTGTCCCCCTCCCTAACTGGAGAGTCAGCTCAGTCTACAGCCGGGATGGAGCCTCATCTATTAACTCTTCCAAGCCCCACTCAGATGCTGCTTCTCTCGGAAGGAGGTTGGGTGGACGGGTGGACTCATCACATCCCTGCCTACAAGGGCTTGTCTGCAGACAGCATCTCTGTGTCCTAGGAGCAGACGTGTCCTGGGTCAAGTTCTCCAAGGAACAGATTCTGAGATAGATAATTGTGTGCAGGAGTATGACTGACAAATGTTCTCAACAACATCACCTGTGGGCCAGGCACAGCGGCTTGCTCTTCACTTTCCTCACCCATCACAGGTGGTGGGTTTTTTAAAAAGGATTTTAGCTTTTTTTTTTTTTTTTTTTTTTGACAGTCTCACTCTGTTCACCAGGCTGAAATGCAGTGGTGCAATCTCAGCTCACTGCAACCTCTACCTCCTGGATTCAAGCAATTATCCTGCCTCAGTCTCCCAAGTAGTTGAGACTACAGGCACCTACCACCAGCGCCTGGCTAATTTTTGCATTTTTAGTAGGGACAGGATTTCACCTTGTCAGCCAGGCTGGTCTCGAACTCCTGATCCAGGAGGTTGAGGCTTCAGTGAACCAAGATAGTGTCCATGGCTGCTCCAGCCTGAGCAACAGAGCAAGACCCTGTATCATTATTTTTTTTGTTTTTCTTTTTCTTTTTTTGTTTTTATATCAAGTGATACCGTATTAGGTATAAAACATGTATCATTTTTTAAAAATGGTTTAGGCTGGGCGTGCTGGCTCAAGCCTGTAATCACAACGCTTTTGGAGGCCAAGTTGGGCGGATCGTGACCTCGAGAGATCAAGACCAGCCTGCTCAAGATGGTGAAACCGTGTCTCTACTAACAATACAAAATTTAGTTAGGCGTGGTGGCAGGCACCTGTAGTCCCACCCACTTGGGAGGCTGAGGCAGGAGAAACACTTGAACCTGGGAGGCGGGGGTTGCACTGAACTGAGATCATGCCACTGCACTCCAGCCTGAGCGACAAGGTGAGACTCCATCTCTCAAACAGATAAATAAATTTAAAAATGGCTTAGATGGTAAATCTTCTGCTTCGTGTATTTGACCAAAATAATAATAATTTTCCTAAAATAGCTGGCTGCTCGTCACTGAGTTTCTGGTGCGGGGCCCCGCCTTCTCTCGTAGGAATGTATGACACACCCACCCTCTCGGTTCATCCCGGACCGGAAGTGATCTCGGGAGAGAAGGTGACCTTCTATTGCCATCTGGGGACTGCAACGAGCACCTTCTTTCTGCTCAGGGAGGGAAGATCCGGCGTACGGCGTGGATACGGGAAGGTCCAGGCAGAATTCCCCATGGGCTCTGTGACCACGTCCCACAGAGGGACATACCGCTGTTTTGGCTCCTATAACAACCATGCATGGTCTTTCCCCAGTGAGCCAGTGAAGCTCCTGGTCACAGGTGAGGAGAGCCCCGATTCCCACACCTCCCGCTGCCATGTCCTACCTGGAGCCCTAAGGGATCCCCAGATCGTGATGGGGAGGGTATGAAAGGGACGTCAGCTTCCTGGGGGCCCAGTTGGTGGTGTGAGGAAGATCGCCAGAAACAGGAAGGAAGAGGGTGCAGAGAAAGAAATGGTAAGACCAGAGGAAACCCAAAAGCCTTACTTATGTTCTTTATCTCCTTTTCCAGGTGACACTGAGAACACCAGCCTTGCACCTACAGACCCCACCTCTCCTGGTGAGTAACTGGTCCTTCTAAGCTCAGAGGAGGGATCAGAGCCTCCCAATGACACTAGAAACGGGGCATTCATTCAAAATATTCGTCGAGGCCTAGCACAGTGACTCACACCTGTAATCCCAGCACGGTGGGAGGCTGAGATGGGTGTATCACTTGAGGTTAGGGGTTCGAGACCAGCCGGGCCAACATGGTGAAACCCTGTCTCTACTAAAAATACAAAAATTAGCCAGATGTGGTAAGGGGCATCTGTAATCCCAGCTACTCTGGAGGCTGAGGCAGGAGAATCGCTTAAACTAGGGAGGCAGAGGTTGCAGGAGCCAAAATTGTACTATCTCACTCCAGCCTAGGCTTTGTGGCACTTAGATTCTAGCAGAAGGAGACAGACCATGGGTCGATGTCAGGACAGCACACAGGAGAAGATGAGGCTGTGGAAGGTGAAAGACAAAGAAGAACAGACTTACAGTGTTTGGGAGGGCAGGTAGCACTATGAAATGGGTTGTCCAGATTGGCCTCCCAGAGAAGAAGACATCTGAGCAAACGCCTTCAGACTTGAGTTTGTCGTGTGGCTCTCAGGAGAAAGGAGGGTCGGAGAGCGGAAACGTCCTGTGCCTGTGCCCTGAGGCAGGAAGAGGACCAGGGTGACAGAACAGCTGTATGGCCTGCAGGGTTGCAAATGACATCTGGAAGATGATGGTGGGGATGGGATGGGGCTGGGGCTGGGGCTGCGTGGTTAAGACACTGAAAAAAACAGTGAGACTTTGAATTTGACTATGTGTGAGGAAAAAGGAGTGATGATGACTCAGTGAGGAAAACGAGGCTTAAGTAGAAGACGTGGGCTGGGCATGGTGGCTCACACCTGTAATCCCAGCACTTTGGGAGGCTGAGGCGGGCACATCACTTGAGGTCAGGAGTTCAAGGCCAGCCTGGCCAACACAGGGAAACCCCTGTCTCTACTAAAATTACAAAAATTAGCTGGGCATGGTGGTGCATGCCTGTAATTACAGCTACTCAGGGCTGAAGCAGGAGAATCACTTGAACTTGGCAGGCAGAGATTGCAGTGAGCTGAGATTGTGCCATTGCACACCAGCCTGGGTGACAAGAGCGAAACTGCGTCTCAAAAAAAAAAAAAAAAACACCAGAAACGTAGAAGACGTGACTGTTGCAAAGACACATGCTCATGAGTGCTAGAGTGGAATTCCTCCTCAGGCGTGTCCATCTGTGGACCCTTCCACTTTATCTGCTGGATGAAGCTCTGGGGTCTGCAGGGTGGGTGGGACCTTGCAGAACATCACTGGGTATACCCAAGGGAAGGAGCGCTGGGGTGGAGGAGGCCAACATCAACCCTTTTCTTTACTTCCCTTATTATTGGCAGACTCTGAGGACACCTACCTTTTAACCACAGAGACAGGACTCCAGAAAGGTAAGTAGACACCCGGGGTCAAAGGCTGTAAAGGAAGGAGCTGGGCATAGAGTCATAAGCTGGGAAGGAGATGGGGATCAGTGGAACAAGAGGGTGTCCTTGGCCAGGTGTGGTAGCCAGCACCTGTAATCCCAGCACACTGGGACGCCAAGGCAGGCGGATCATCTGAGGTCAGGAGTTTGAGACCAGCCTGGCCAACATGGGGAAACCCTGTCTCTAGTAAAAATACAAAAATTGGCTGGGCACGGTGGTTCAAGCCTGTAATCCCAGCACTTTGGGAGGCTAAGTCGGGCAGATCACAAGATCAAGAGATCGAGACCATCCTGGCCAACATAGTGAAACTCTGTTTCTACTAAAAATACAAAAATTAGACGGGTATAGTGGCATGCGCCTGTAGTCCCACCTACTTGGGAGGCTGAGGCAGAAGAGTTGCTTGAACCAAGGAGGCGAAGGTTGCAGTGAGCTGAGATCAAGCCACTGCACTCCAGCCTGGGCAACAGAGTGAGACTCCATCTCAAAAAAAAAAAAAAAAAAAAAAAATTAGCCAGGTGTGGTGGCGGGTAACTGAAGTCCCAGCTACTTGGGAGGCCGAAACGGGAGGCAGAGGTTGCAGTGAGCTGAAGATCGCACTGTTGCATTCCAGCCTGGGCAACAAGATCAAGGCTCTGTCTCAAGAAAAAAACAGAGGGTGTCCTTACGTCCCTGTCAGCAATCACCCTGTTCTCCTGCCCACAGAGCGTACCCTCTGGGACCACACTGCCCAGAATCTCCTTCGGGTGGGCCTGGCCTTCCTGGTCCTGGTGGCTCTGGTGTGGCTCCTCGTTGAAGACTGGCTCAGCAGGAAGAGGACCAGAGAGCGAGCCAGCAGAGCTTCCACTGGACAATGCAGGAGAAGCTTGAACACAGAGACTCTCTGAAGAACGACCAAGAGGTGCAGGAGCCGTGGGTGGAACTGAAAGCTGGTGTTGAGCCTGTGTTGAACCCACAGAGGAGGGAGTCACTGCAGGAAACAAGGGACAATGCCATTCCACTTGTCAGAGCATCCCAGATGGCACAGGAGGTGGGAGAAACAAGCTAAATTTCTTCATTATTTTTTCCTGAGATGGAGTCTGGCTCTGTCACCCAGGCTGGAGTGCAGTGGTGCAATCTCAGCTCATGAAACCTCTGCCTCCCAGGTTCAAGCGATTCTCCTGCCTCAGCCTTCTGAGTAGCTGGGATTACAGGTATGCACCACCATGCCCAGCTAATTTTTTGTATTTTTAATAGAGACGGGGTTTCACTGCATTAGCCAGGATGGTCTCGATCTCCTGACCTCATGATCCACCTCGGCCTCCCAAAGTGCTGGGATTACAGGCATGAGCCACCGCCCTGGCCACTAAATTTCTTTTGTAGACAAATCCCATGGTCTCTTCTAGACTCTAAATATGTTTGTGCAACTTACTGCAAACCATACTTTTAACAGCTCTAGTCTTTTCTGAAAAGATCTCTCCTTTAACAGAACGGCCATGGAAATATTTTCTTCCTACTCTGGTCTTTATTTCTTCCCTTTCTCTGCAGGAAGTCATTCAAAATCGTTAATAACCGGCCATGCACCGTGGCTCATGCCTATAATCCTAGCACTTGGGGAGGCTGAGGCAGAGATCAAGACTCTCTGGGTCAACATGGTGAAACCCCATCTCCACTAAAAATACAAAAATTAGCCGGGCATGGTGTCAAGCACCTGTAATCCCAGCTACTCAGGAGACTGAGGCAGGAGAATCACTTGAACTGGGGAGACGGAGGTTGCAGTGAGCCGAGATCATGCCACTGCACTCCAGCCTGGCAACAGAGCAAGCCTCCTTCTCAAAAAAAAAAGAAAGGAAGAAAAGTTAATAACTAGTATAGAATAGGTCTGAATCAAATGGTTCAGGAGGCCTTGTGGTCACAACCAGTCATAGAGAAGCAGCTTTGTAAGTGAATCCTGCTGGGCACGGTGACTCATGCCTGTAATCCCAGCACTCTGGGAGGCCAAGGTAGGTAGATCACCTGAGGTCAGGAGTTCGAGACCAGCCTGGCCAACATGGTGAAACCCTTATCTCTACTAAAAATACAAAAATTCAGCCCGACAGCACAGTGGTTGGAAAAATGCAGCCTTGATTCCATGTGACTGTGTGGCAGGCTAAATATTGATACTTTTCATGAACTAGAAAGTGAAGGGTTTTGTAACAAGTATCTCCCGTCTCTGTTACGAGCACCTCCTATGTGCCAGGCTCTGGTGAAAGCATTGCCCATAAAACAAACATGGCCCCTGCCGTGATAGGATCGGTTATCCAGGACTGCAGACCTCAAATAAATGAATCAATAAACAGGGAGTCAGTCTTCCGTTGCTGCTGTTTCTTCTTTTTCTTTTTTAGGCTGAGGTGCAGTGGTGTGATCACAGCTTACTGTAGCGTCAACCTCCTGGGCTCAAGTGATCCTCCCACCTTGGCCTCCTGAGTAGCTGGGACTACAGCACATGCCACCACACCTAGCTATTTTTTAAATTATTGTTTGTAGAAATAAGGTCTCACTATGTTGCCCCGGGTAGACTCAAACTCCTGGGCTCAAGCAATTCTCCCGCCTTGGGTTCCCAAAGTGCTGGGATTATAGGTATGAGCCAGCATGCCAGACGATATTTTTAGGTTTGGTTTTGTTTTGCTTTGCTTTGTTTTTGAGATTCTCTTTTGAGTTTTGCTCTGTTGCCCAGGCTGGAGTGCAGTGGCACGATCTCTGCTCACTGCAGCCTCCGCCTCCCAGGTTCAAGTGATTCTCCTGTTTCAACCTCCTAAGTAGCTGGGATTACAGGCATGCGCCACCACACCTGGCTAATTTTGTATTTTTAGTACAGATGGGGTTTCTCCACATTGGTCAGGCTGGTCTTGAACTCCTGACCTCAGGTGATCTGCTCACCTTGGCCTCCCAAAGTGCTGGGATTACAGTCACCGTGCCCAGCCATTTTTAGTTTTTGTGGGTACACGGTAAGTATATATATTTCTGAGGTACATGGGATACTTTGAGGCATGCATTGCCTAATAATCACATCAGGGTACATGAGGTATCCATCACCTCAAGTATGTACCCTTTGTGTTGCAAACAATGCAATTATAATCTTAATTATTCTAAAATGTTCAATTACATTATGTTTTACTGTAATCACTCAGTTGTGCTAGCAAATACTAGGTCTTAGTCATTCTTTCTATTTCTTGTGCCCATTAATCATCCCCTCTGCCCCCACCACCCTTCCCAGCCTCAGTAACCATCATTCTACTTTCTAACGCCATGAGTTCAGTTGTGTTCATTTTTAGCTCTCACAAATAAGTGAGAACAAATGAAGTTTGCCTTTTTTTTTTTTTTTAAGGCATATGCTCTCACTCTGTTGCCCCCAAGCTGGAGTGCAATGGCACAATCTCAACTTACCACAACCTCCGCCTCCCGAGCTCAAGTGATTCTCCTGCCTCAGCCTCCCCAGTAGCAGAGATTATAGGCATGTGCCAGCACACCCGGCTAATTTTTGTATTTTTACTAGAGACAAGGTTTTACTATGTCAACCAGGCTGGTCTCGAACTCCTGACCTCAGGTGATCCACCCACCTCAGCCTCCCAAAGTGCTGGAGTTCTGAGATTGCAGGCATGAGCCAGCGCCCCTGGCCTGAAGTGTGTCTTTCTGTGCCTGGCTTATTTCTCTTAACATAATGAGCTCCAGTTCCATCCATGTTGTTGCAGATGACAGGCTTGGGACAGATGAAATCCCGTGCAGATGCCATTTAATAGGGACCTTGAGGAGGCTGTGGATGTAGGGAAGGCCAACATGGTGATAGAGACTGAGACACAAGACGGGAGTGAAATGCGCTCTGTGTAACCAGAGCTTTGAATGGGAGGGAAAGGTGGCTCTGCGTCACGCTGTTACCAACTAACCCGTGCACCGCAATGCAGCAGTCGCTTTTATGAGGTATCACCTGGAGTTCTTTGTATCACATCTAAAATGGTTAAGGAGTGGGACACAAGGGTGAGGTTGGAGTGAAAGTTTAATACGCAAAGTAAGAAAGCTCTCTGCAGCAGAAAGGGAATTCTGAGCAGACTGCCAGGTTGTTTTGTTTTGTTTACTGTGACAGTGTTGCTCTGCTGTCACCAGGCTGGAGTGCAGTGGCGCAATCTTGGCTCACCGCAACCTCCACCTCCTGGGTTCAAGTGATTCTCCTGCCTCAGCCTCCTGAGTAGCTGGGATTACAGGCATGCACCACCACGCCCAGCTAATTTTTGTATTTTTAGTAGAGACAGGGTCTCACCATGTTGGCCAGGATGGTCTCGATCTCTTGACCTCGTGATCCACCCGCCTCGGCCTTCCAAAGTGCTGGGATTACAGGTATGAGCCACTGTGCCCGGCCCAGATTGCTGTTTTTATAGTCAAATCCAAAAGCTTTTATAAGAAACTGCTCTTAGGCCAGGCGTGGTGGCTCACACCTGTAATTCCAGCATTTTGGGAGGCTGAGTCGGGCGGATCATGAGGTCAGGAGATCAAGACCATCCTGGCTAACACTGTGAAACCCCGTCTCTACTAAAAATACAAAAAATTCATCGGGTGTGGTGGTCGGCACCTGCCGGCTACTCATGAGGCTCAGGCAAATCGCACCACTGCACTCCAGCCTGGGCAACACAGGCATACTCTGTCTCCAAAAAAAAAAAAAAAAGAAACTGCTCTCATCTCAATAGCAGTTTTTCTTCTCTATAAAACTGCACAACACTGTCTGTTTAGCTGTGGGTATTTCTCTAGGCAAGCACAAAGCAGTCCTTCTCTTGTTTAGGTAACTGTGGGTCTGTTTTACCTAAGCCCCCCTCCTCCCTGAGCAAGTTCCCACAGATCCCGCCACATCATACCTGAAAAGGGGAGGGAACTTTTTCCTGGGAGCTGGCTAATCACACAAAGAACAGAGGGCTTCTGTGCTTTGCTGGCTCCTTATCTGTCCGAGCTTCTCAGCAGGCGTGTGCAGCTGTGATTCGTCAGCCAGGCTGCTTCCCCAAGGACCAGCCCGAACTGTTTACCTGACTATTTTTCCTTTTCTCCTCCCTCAGTGCTGGGCAAATGCAGGAGACAGACAAATCACGGCCATGAAAGCCACATTAATAATAAATGCACATTTTACCCTTAGCGCTCAGTAAACACTTTGATCACGGATGTGATGTGATGCTTTCTGCATTGTGTAAAGACTCTTCCGATTGCGAAGAGGAGAAGGAACATAAGGGAGAAAAGAAAAATCAGGGAAAAACACAGGAGTTCAGAATGGCTGACCAATAGGGTTGACAGTGGAAGATGAGTGTTGCTCGACCATTACTGCAAACCCAGAAGTATGTCACCCAGCTACATACAAGTGATGGGTCCTTGATCTTGAGATTCGGTAGCAGAATATATTTGCCATCTTCACTCCTTTTTTTTTTTTTTTTTTTCTCGAGACAGGGTCTCACTCTGTTGTCTAGGCTGGAGTGCAATGGTGTGATCTTGTCTCACTGCAACCTCTGCCTTCTGGGTTCAAGCGATTCCCCTGCCTCAGCCTCCACTGTAACTGGGATTACAGGCATGCACCACCACGCCCAGCTAATTTTTATCTTTTTAGTGGAGAAAGGGTTTTGCCATGTTGGCCAGGCTGGTCTGGAACTCCTGACCTCAGGTGATCCACCTACCTCGGCCTTTCAAAGTGCTGAGATTACAGGTATGAGCCACCACACCCGGCCTCCATCTTCACTTTTCAAGATTTATGTTGGGTCCTTTAGACTTCAAGGTTAAGTTTAGAATGACAGCATCAATTTCCGTAAAAACCTTCTGGGTTTCACAAGAGATTGTGTTGAAGGTAAAGATCAATTTAGGGAAAATTGCCATCTCCTCGGTCTTTCAGTCCATGGAAGTTTTGACTTCTAAATCTGATATGTTTCAACATTTAATTTTACTGGTCTCTAATTTATCTAAGTGGTATCTTCTAGTCCCCTATATAGAAAATGTACATATCTTTTGATAGGTTTATTCCTAGTTGTATGGTTTTTATTTTGTAAATGGTAAATCATTCTTTAAATAATTTCATTGTTATTG